TGCTGCGATTATGAGCTGCACCTCCTCCGAGAGTGGGGCTTGGGCCGAATTCTCCACGCCGTGAGTCTCAGTGATGCCAGGTCCGGGTGGTGCACCTGACCCTCCTGGATGGATAGGAGGTCTGGTCTGTCCCGCAGGTAGAGATACTCGCTGCCCGAGGTCTTGAGGAGGGGCGCAAACCAGTGTTGGCGTGGCCACCATGGAGCAATTAGTATGGCATCCGTGTTGTCCTCGATCATCTTGGCCAGTACTCTGGGGATCAATGGGATTGGAGGAAAGGCGTATAGCAGGCCCGGGGCCCAAGTGAATAAGAAGGCGTCTCCCATGCAGCCCGGTGCTGATTTGGGGTGAAGTCTGGCACAGAACATGTCGCATTGTCTGTTCTTTGGTGACGCGAACAGATCCAATCTTGGTCGGCCCCAATGACGAGTTAGGAACTGGAACTCGTCCTGATGGAGCTGCCATTCGTGTGTCGATGACTGAGTACGGCTGAGAACGTCGGCAAGAGTGTTTTCGTCTCCTGGAAGGTGTATCGCTGTGAGGAGGATTTCTCGTGGAATACACCATTCCCAAATCTCTGTGGCCAGGTGGAGGAGGTCGGAGGAGTGTGTCCCGCCCTGCTTGTTGACATAACATTTCACCGTCGTATTGTCTGTTATGAGTTGGACGGTGTGCCCGTTGACTTGGGACTCGAATGCTCGCAGGGCTTTTTGGACAGCTAAAAGTTCGAGATAATTGATGTGGTAGGTTGCTTCTTCCTGGGACCACTTTCCGTGTATCGTCAGGTCTCGGAGGTGGGCCCCCCATCCTTGCATGGACGCATCCGTCGTCAGATAACGGGACGGTTGCGGATGTCTGAATGGCATGCCTGCAAGGACATGCTGTTCTCTTGTCCACCAACGGAGGGATGAGAGTACATGACGTGGGGGGTACAGCTGAGTGTTTTGGCTGTCCCGGTGGGGCTTGAAAACACCGAGAAACCAGTGTTGAAGTGGGCGCATTTTTAGTCTCGCGAACATGATGACTGATGTTGTGGAGGCCATGTGCCCAAGCAGAGATTGAATGACCCATGCAGTGGCTTTCCCTTGCGTGCAGATGTCGTCTATGAGAGATTTGATGGTGTGGAAGCGGTCTTCTGGCAGGAAGGCTCTCTCTTCGATGGAATCTATGGTGGCGCCGATGAATTGGATGCGTCTCGATGGAGTCAAGTTGGATTTTTCGAAGTTGACCATGAGGCCGAGGCTCTGTAAGAGAGACAGAGTGAGGGTAAGGTCTGATTGGAGCTGAGATCTTGATTCTGAAGTAATCATCCAATCATCCAGGTACGGAAAGATTGTCACTCCTCTCTGTCTCAAGTGGGCGGCTACTACTGCTACACATTTTGTGAAAACACGGGGCGCGGAGGCGAGTCCGAAAGGGAGAACATTGTACGAATACATTTGGTTGTCTAACGCAAAACAGAGGAATCTGCGATGATCTGCTCTTATTGAAAAATGAAAGTATGCATCTCGGAGGTCCAGCGTCACAAACCACGCTCTCGGTCTCAGGAGCGGGAGAATGGAGGCTAAGGTCACCATACGGAATTTGCGGGGCTTTATAAAGAAATTTACGTCTCTTAAGTCCAATATGGGGCGGAGGCCACCGCCCCTTTTCAAAATCAGGAAATATCTTGAGAAGAAGCAACGTCCAGCTTCCGCAGGGTGGATTCTGGAGATGGCTCCCTTCTCTAAGAGGATGGAAATTTCCTCTTGCAGCTGTGGGGAGGATGGTGTAAATTTCAATACCCCTACCGGGGGGGTGAGAGTCAAATTCTATGGCGTAGCCATGCTCCACGATGGAAAGGACCCAAGAATCCGTTGTTATTCTTCTTCAAGCATGCACGAAAGGGGCCAACCGGTCCCGGAAGGTGCCCTGGGAATGTTGTGGCAGGTAACTATCGCAGGATAAGGAACCCTCAAACAAAGAACTTAGCTCAACGGAGCCAACTGTGGAACTTTGAAACTGTAGAACTGATGAGGTAACTGGCGATTGGCTTCTGGCCTGGGGGCTAGAAGCGGCGCTTCTGGCTGTTTACCTCCACCACGCTGCTAGTTTCTGTATGGCAGAGACGGCTTTCTGGTAGATGCTGGTGGAGCAGAGGGGCGTTGACGTCCTCTGAAGTTTGGAGGGCTGTAGCGTCTACGGTGTTGTTGAAAACGATTCGGCCAGTACTGTCTGTGGTGCTGCGACAGGTAGGGAGAGAAGCCATATTTGTGAGCCGTCTGTCTCATTTTCTGGGTGTGTTCTAATTGTGAGTCCGTCTACGGGTTAAAGAGACCTGCCTCATCCATTGGGAGGTCTTCTATCACTGTTCTGGCTGATTGGGATAGGCCTGAGGCCCTAAGCCACGCATGGCGACGTAAGGCAACCGCTGTTGCTAGGAGTTTGCCCGCTGCATCTGCGGTGTGTTTGGCTAGGTCCTTCTGAAAGGAGGCCAATAGTGAAGCTTCTTGGTGGAAAGCTCTTGCTAGCATTTGTTCATTTGGTGGGAGCATGTCCAGGTATCCAGCTACCTTGCTCCATAGGTACTCTTGGTAGCCTGCCATATATGCTCCATAGTGCGCCATTCTGGAGGCGAGGCAGGCTGAAGCATAGATCTTTCCCCCTAAGTTCTTTAGCTTTTTGCCTTCTTTGTCAGAGGGGGCGCTTTGAGACCTCTGTGGGGGTCGAGGTTGGCTGACATCTACTACGATAGAATTTGGCTTAGGTTGTTTGGCCAGCCAAGGGGCAGCGGAGAGGTCAACTTTGTATAGATTCTCAGCCCTTCTAGGTGTCGCAGGCACTGCTGATGGAGCTACGCCTTCGGCTTTGCTGAGTTGCAGCAGAAAGGGGAGGGAGGGTAGGACAGTGGTTGGAGGATCATGTTGTTTAGAAGAGGGGAACATCGGATCCTCCACTATCTTTGCTGGTTTTGGCAGCGTTAGTTGAAGGGCCTTAGACAATCTGATCATTAGAGCTGAGAATCCTCCCATGTCTTCCGTAAGGAGTCCCTCCGATTCAGGCTGAGGGTCAGAGGGAGAGAGAGGGCAGTCCTCTGAATCTGAGGAGCCCGAGAGATGATTTGCATCAGCCTCTGGGGTTGCTATTCTCGGTGCCGAGCCATTTGGTGTTGGAGCCGAGGGTCCAGCAGCAGGTGGCGCTGTTGCGTTGCTGGGATGAGTTGCCTGCACCGGTGCCGACTCAAGCCTCGTGGGCTGGCTGACGGATCCAAGCTGGAGAGGGGCCGGAGAAGCAGCCTCTGGGTGGGCGTGGCTTGCGCTGGGGGGCATCGCTCCTGGGAGAGGGTGGGGGTGGTCAGCGTAACGGCAGCACTCAGCATGGCGGCAGCAGCCCCTCCCAGCGTGAGGCATGGCATACTTGTATTGGGCATAGTAGTCCCTATGATATCTGGAGTGGTGGTGCTCTGGGGAGTAATCTTCCTCATAGTAGGCTCCCACAGGGCTTCGGGAGCAAGAGCTCCAAGAGCTGATGGAAGGGGACCTGCGTCGGTGCCGTGGCACGTGGCGCGATCGGCGGTCCTGGGAGCGGCCTCTGCCCTCTTTCTCTCTCTCCCTGGCCATCGCTGAGGGCAAGTTTTGGGATTGTTGGGACAATCCCGGTGGAGTGGAGGAGCCCGCAGCGCCCTGAGCTCACTCAGGTAAGTTGTTTGGCGAGAGAGGTCCCATGGCCGATGGCGGGGAGGCTAAGGGTGCGCCGCTTGGGCGAACGCTCTCCGCGGGGAGTGCGTTGGCGGGTTTAGTGCCATTTCCTCTTGGGCCGTTGGAGTCGCCATTTGCTGAGCTTCCCCCAGCGGCTCTCTTGGCTCTTCGGGGCAGGCTTGGGCTGGTTCATCTTGGGCCGTGCCCCTAGTGGAACGGGGGCTCGGGGGCAAGTTACCGCCGAGTTGCCCCTTCTTTTTCCCCTTTTTAAGCCCTTCCTTATGCTTAAGGGGAGCCTTTCCCTGCTTGGGAGGCTTGGGCTTCTTGGCGGGCCCCGGCTGAGGCTCGTCCTCCGCTTCCCTCTCGGGAGGGGGGAGATGGGAGGAAGCTAGTCCCGCTTCTTGAGGGTTAGAGAGCCCATCAGGGTTAGGGCGCTTCTCCGCTCTGCTGGTGCTTGGGGCTAGCGCTCTCTCATAGAGAAGGGCCTTAAGCCTCGACTCTCTGTCCTTGCGGGCCCTGGGGGTGAACGCCAAGCACACTTGGCAGGATTGAGGGCGATGGGATTCCCCCAGGCAGAGCAAGCACATGGAGTGCCCGTCAGAATCGGGCACCTTGCCGCCACAGGAGCCACATTTCTTGAAGAAAGAGGTGCTCATATCGGAGGAAAAACTGGCCTGAGAGTAGTCAAAAGGCAATCCGAAGTCGTGGGTAGGAGAAAATCCGGCAGTCGATGAGATTTCCAAAGTCAAAAAACCAAGTCCGTCCGTTAGAAAAAAACTCGCTACTAGAGAGGTTCCAAACGCTGTGATGGCGGAAAAAGGAACTGAGCCGAGGCTCCCGCCTTGGGTACTTATAGTATTGGGGAGTATGGGCGGGGCGTCCGCCGAAAAGTGTCTATTTTAAATTCTAGAAGGTTCCGAACAGCTGCGCATGCGCAGAATAAAACCCATTATGTGCGTCTTTCACAGACTACACGAAGGGGAAAAGAAAAGACTCAGTGAGGCCTTTTCCAAACTCAGCATAAGTTGCACACCCAAAAATACCTCATGAGCTGGAAATCACACAGCCCTCCTGATGCTGATGGACTGGGGGTTCCAGCCCTCCTTAAGACTGTTGTACCCTGTCTCGAGCCACAAGGAGAGGCATATTATTATTATTATTATTATTAGTAGTAGTAGTAGTAGTAGTAGTAGTTGTTGTAGTACTATTTGGTGGCTTGGCCTGTTGGAACCTACTCCAACAACATTTGGAAGGCTATGTGATTTCTCTTGCAGTTACACCAGAACCCACTGTGGTTGTGACAAGGAGATTGCTCTTTAGTACCTGAACTGTCAGAGTGACCGGCATGAGCCTCGCATCCTTCCGAGGCCTGCCTTTCTTCTTCTTCTCTACTTCAAGTTCCAATTTACGCTTCGACAGTGACATCGGCTTGGCTGGAACTTTCTCCTCACTGTCGCTGCTGCTCTCTAGGAGATCCCTGGGTTTATTGTCCCTAATTGAATTCTGCTCCTTCAGTCTGAAGGACAAAGAGAGAAAAGATTAGTTGCCCAATTGATGTCAGGTTTCTTAAAGTTTCCCAAAAGTAGCCCATGGCCTAGATAAACATCAGGCAGGCTCAACAATGTTAAGGGGTGGACTTACAGTTCAGTTTAGGGGAAAGCTACATTTTGTCCCGGCTAAAGTCCCAAGACGCTGCTGAGGCCAGAGCTGTCCCTACCATTAGTCAGTGAGGGGTTGCCTTAAACTGCAGGTGCAAAACAAGTCATCCAAAGAGAGAACTGTGTGCCATGCGGCCTCAAAGGTAGCCCCAAGTAAGATGCAACTGCCAGTCGAGTCAACTTTGGAGCATGAAATAGGAAAGTGTGCTTCTTTGGCTTTATTCTAATTTTGATCTTAGCAGCTTATGGTCTGTGTTGAAATCAACTCCTGGTCTTGCTTTGGTAGAGAATGGAGCTTTTCCTTTTTCTGCTTCCGAAGAAGTATTTCTATATTGGCCACATATACAGCTGTCTCTTGGGTTGCTCGAAGGATGTGTTCATACGGAACAAACTGTTGGCCTTGTAAAATATGGAGAGTTGTTGTTCTGCTTTTAAGGTCTAGTAGCGAATCAATGTAGCCCCATTAAGAAAACCTCTATGAATATTACTGCCTACTTTGAACTGATGATGGCCTACCGGTGTCCCAAGCAGAGAGATATTTTCCAACCCTGCTACCTGGTCTCTTTTTAGATGGAAGTGCAAAGAAACTCTGTATGCGAAGTACACACTTTTCTAGATGATTACACGCCTGCCATGTGCATTAAGATCCACCGCAGCTACTGTTAACCTCATGTGCATTCTCTCACTTGTGGAGTTCAACCCCTCACCTGTCTATGGCAATCTGATTCGTGTGCACGATAGCAGAAGTCCCTGAGGTGGCTTTGGATCGCTCTGTAAATCTCGAATCAAATGCTTTCATTGGCTCGATCTTGGATGAAGCCGTCAGCACAGAGGGTGATGATGTAGGAGGAGCAACTGAAGCCGAGGTAGCATTTACACTGCAAAAAGAAAAGGTAAGCTCACAAGGTGTGGATGAGGGCAATCTCCCCATTTCAGTTTCCCCACAACCTAGTATGGTATCTAGTAACAAGGAGTATACTGGTTCTGAATACAGACAATGCTTTTTGGACAGTTGTAGACTGCAGCTACAGGACTACACTTATATGTTGTCTAAAATGGTACTTCCTACTTGGAGAGTGCCCTTTGACCATTTGGAAGGTAGACAGTCCCCACCCAACTTCCTTTTTCAAACACTCTTCGAGTGAAGACTGTTAACTGATGGGAGAAATATTTGCCATTCCCCAGAAATATCTAGATCTCAGGAGAAAGTAAGGGGAGGTTTAAACCATCTCTGTGTTAGTGTGTCTCCAAAATGAAACCTGATGTGGCTACTAAGGGGTCACAAAGGTTGTACATCCTGGTGACATTACATATAAGCATCTCTGTATCTTTATAGTACTATTAAATACTCAATGTGAAAAGCTGAAATAAAAAAATGAAGCACACACGCACACAGGTACCCATGGGTTTGTCACTAATTCAATATGGGATATAATTGTTCAAAAAGTCTGAAGTGATTATCTGACTCAAATTAACATCGGTATGGGAATCAATATATTTTATACCACCAGATGTAAGGAGGGAAGGTAACAATAATATCATCAGTGGGTGAGGATCTTTACTAAAGTGTTTCATTCTGTGAAACTCTTGGACTCTTACAATAAATCATTCATTTGGTATATGTATCTAAATTTATTTATGAAAACTTGTTTTGTGTTTTCAGTTTGGCAGTGGTAGAAAAATCTGCCCATCTTCTCCTCCTGACTCCCAGAAGGAATTGGTTTCTGAAAGTATTGTTTTAATGCCCAACTACACTGGAAAATTTAAGGTCATATGGATCTGGCTTGTAGGGTTTATACCACTGTTAAATAATATCAAGATGTAATTATGTGTCCAGGAATTGATTATGACCAATTCTTGCAACTAAATCCAGAAGACAAACTGTTAACCTAGCAGGAATTAGATGTTCACAACCACTCTAGAAAAGAATTGTCACTAGATTGCTTTATTGTATGGGCAGTTGGATATCTGCTTCTGTTACTGTACTGCTGCTTTTTATTATTGTGAATCAAAAAATAGGTATAATGGTCCCAAAGTTGGAAGTATAGTCCCTGTAGTTTATCAAGAGACAGGCTGTTTAGCTTTTAAATGAAAATTTAATTGTATTTTTACTTCGTCGTTCAGACACAAGCATTTTTTAAAATTTTTGTATTTCCCTTTTAAAAAAAAATTAGTGTGGGTGTGTCATGTTATTGTTGGTTGCCTTGAGTCCCAATGCGGAGAAAGCCGAGATAGTCATAAAGTTAGCAGTAATAATAATAATAATAATCGTGGATTAGCAAAAATCCTTTAAATAAGGTTTGAGTGTGGGACGACAACTCTGGAGACCAGGCTTTGCGTCTCTGTTTGTCCCTGAAAATCCAATAGGGAATCCTGGACAAATTGCTGACTCTTAGCCCCAGGAAACCCTATGATGGATCAACTTTAGGTTTGCCTAAGTTGGGAATGACTTGAAGGCAAATAACATGGAATAAAAAACACCTACTACTTAGTATCAAGTAAGTGGAACTTAGTATTTAGCCCGTCTCCTCACAGAGGAGAAGAGTTGGGGTACAACTATCTACGCGCTTGGAAGAGAAGGGTAGATTTGGAAAGATATGCAAGCTAGTGGTACCATCTACTCTTCCAAGCTTCCATATGGGGATGGTAGACTCCAACCAACTCCAAACTTAATGTCCTGGTAAGGCAGCTTAAGCAGCTCAGGAACTGAGCAAAGCTAGGAATCTACAGTGAAAGGAAGAGACGTTCCTTTAAAAAAAAGCAATGTACAGGCCCTTGACTTACACAGTCAGAATTCTCTTTACACCTCTTTAGGCCAGTGTAAGGACTCTTTCCAGTGTTGTGCAAGGAGGCATGATGGGCACCTCTTTAGAAGGCGACGTGCCTTACTTATTTCAAACGATGATAGGCCACTTCTACTCAGGTCCCTGAACTTCTGTCTGACAATCTCACCCTGTGTGTCTGAAGCAATCTAGGGCTAGCAAAAAGTTTTTCCATGGTGGTTCTGAACTGATACATGTTGCACAGAGGAGGAGGAACATTCCAAAAGCTAGGCAATGAAATCTTCCACTCAATACTGACCCATCTTTGTTGGCTGTGTCTTCGGCGGGCTTAACACTGACCGCCGTGGGTTCTAAGGCCGGCTTAGAGGTGCCAAGGGAATTGGTTGCATTGTAATCTAAGGACATGAGCTGATTTGTTTGGGAAGCGGACATCATTGAGCCTGCTAAGGATCCAGAGATTGGGATACTATTGAAAAAAGCGGTGGAAAAATCCCTATTCAAAGGAAAGGAGAGGAAAAGAGACAACAGTCAAGGAAAACGTTACTGTGCAGAAATCAATCACGAGATTATATGCATGCTCACATGATTAAAGAAGCACAGACTTTGCACACAACCATATGCCGGGGTTCAGAAGAAAAGCGAGAGCTTCTTATCAGAGAGTTGATCGAAACTTATCTCTCAATACTCCCTCTTCCCCAGTCAGCCTTAGTCATACAATAAAATACTTCCAATACTGTCCATGGAAATAGACCTCCCATAAATTCTCAGAGATGAACATGCCAACGCAAGTCTGGGTCTCCCAGTGTATTTTCAGAGCTGAAATAGAAATGGGTCAGCCCTATCCCCATCATTCAGCAATTTCCATGCAAAAATAATTCCAGAAATAAAGAATCAGGGGCTACCAATTCAGAGAGACAATCTCAAACTCCATGAATTGCGGCCATCAGTTCTAGAAGTGACAAGAGCAGACTCCTAACAGTGTAGCACTTGGGAGTTCTCCTAACAAACCATCATTCAACATGCTGCTCACCAGGTAACTTTGGGACAGTCACAATCTCTCAACTTCACCTGCCTCATAGGGTTATTGACAGGATAACACAGCAATACAATTAGAAACCAAAATGTAAATTTAGTATAGAAACGGTTTCTAGTTAGGAGTATTGATAGCTCATCAAGTCTGTGGCGCCACTGTTACTATCAAGATCTTAAGGAAGGTCTGGAAGCTCTTCCAGACTAGACCTCTGGTCTTTCAATGAGTTTGTAATCTCGCTTGACCATCACAAATGTTTTTCTAGATCATGTGTGTCAAACTCTGGGCCTACAGCTTGAATCCAGCCAGCATGTGAGTTGATGTGGCCTTCTAAATGCTAAACTACAACTCCTCTATTCCCATCATTAGACATCATGACTAAGGTTGATGGGAGTTGGGATATAATTATATTTGGAAGGATGTACAGGCAGTCCCTGAGTTACAAACATCTGACTTACAAACAGCTCATCACTAAGAACGGGGGTGAGACAACAGGAAGTAAGAGAAATCTACCCCCAGGAAGGGAAATTCGCTCCTGAAAGAGTTAACATGGGGAAAGTATGTCTCTGCAAAATTCAATTAGCACAGGAACAGAAAGTGAAGGGAAATTTTCTGAACAAGGGCACAGACAGCAAAACAAACACCACAGGGTTGTTGTAGGTTTTTCATGCTGTATGGCCATGTTCTAGAAGCATTCTCTTCTGATGTTCCACCTGCATGTATGGCAGGCATCCTCAGAGGTTGTGAGGTCACCACAGGGGTGTCATGCTTTCCCTATGTTACCCAAAGCACTGATATATATATATAGAGAGAGGGGTGTGTGGCTGGACTTACACTTAAAATGCACATGTTCTGACTTACATACAAATTCAACATAAGAATAAACCTACACAACCTATCTTGTTTGTAACTTGGGGACTGCCTGTAGTTTGTTCTGTTTTGTCAGGAGAGTGTGGTTTGGACTGAGAGACAAGGCTTGTGGATATGATGTCTGGCTTTAAAATGTCCTTTAACCTTTTCCCAACCTCAGAGCCACAAGTGTTCCCATTATTCCCAGCCCGCATAGCTGATAAACAAAAATGATAGGAGTTGTTGTTCCATAACATCTGGGGACCCAAGCTGGCTAAAAACTAAAGAGTGTTGACCACTATGTAAAATATTCTCCATCCATGGTTTGAACGGCCCTTTGAGGGCAACCATCAAACTGATGTGGACCTCCATGATAATGCATTTGACACCCCTGGTCTAGATCAAACTGAACGTGTGGAAAAACAAATGGACAAGAAAGCTATGCTATCTGCATCTTCATACCTTGTTAATAGCATGGCACTAGGGGGTAAGAAAATTCTGTAGCATCACAAATGATTCCAGACAGAGTAACATTCTAAGAGTTAGTTGAGACGCTACATACAGAACTAAGTTCTCCACTGTATTGAAAGTGATTTGCAGTTATATATATTTCATTCAATGCAGACAGGGAACGTACCTGTTCTCATTGCCATTTCATCCTCACAATGCCATGAGGTGGACTTGTAGGTTAGATAGTGACTGGCTCAAGGTCACACCTGTGAGCTTCATGACTGTGTTAGAGGTAAAACCTGGATCTTCCCATTTCCAACTAACTCCCACACCACACTAACTCTCCCATTAATTTCACTTATACATTAAAACCTAGTTCTTTGCAGGATTTACTGCCACATGCAATCTCAAACACTATGTCTCCCTGCCCTGCCTTATACAACAATATATTGTTTTACTGCAACTTGTGAATGAATCTATTTGGAGTAAGACTGCAAAATCAGTTATGCATGACAAGAAGGGATTTGTAAATTATGGGTTGGGAAAAAATCACAAGATAGAAGTGAAAACAAAACCTCAGCATTATGTACCCAGTGTCCAGCTGAGCAATGCAAAGAGGTGTGATCCGTCTCCGACCATCGGCCGTCCGGGTCTCAACTTGCTTCTTTAGGAGATTCTGTCAGAGGAAAGGTGGTTATTGGAATGTCTGCTTTATACATTTTACAACCAGGCTACATCAACAGCCCACATATTACCTTCTCGAGAAGGACTCATCTGTCTTGCAAAATTCAGTACTGACAGAGCTGAACAACAGTGACAACAGTCCTCAAAACAAGTGCTTGGAAGAACTTCTAAAGTTGTACTTCCAAAGGTTTCTACTTATGGAAACCCTGTGTCCTCGAGCTGAACAGCGTTGTCTTAACGGATGCGAAGAGAGCGTAGCAAAGAGGCATCTTGCTAACAGGAGGCCAAGGCAGTTTCCTGAAACTTTCTGAAATCTAAAATATATCAGCTAGACATACTGCGTCCCAGGGATGCATTCTCTATGTGTCATTGTCCTTGTAGGCACATGCTACGTAAGACTCCTTCTCTGAAACATGGCTTCCTCTCTGTCCTCTTCTGTTGTCTTGAAAAGGTATTTAGATGAGTTATGACAGTAACTGCACTGCATTTTGGTTTTTACCTCTTTTGGACTATGCTTTCATCCATATCTGTTCTCTCTTCCCTGATTCACTTTTTGGTTATTTCTTTTCTTGCATTACAACACATGCACTGGTATTTCATTCACAAGCTTTATACATGAAGGATGACAGAATATCTACCTTCCGAATGTCCTCCAAGCTTTCCCCATTCACCATGCTGGCCACCTTAGGAGGTGCTGTTGTTGCTGTTGAACCCGTGGTCTCTCTCGCTGCTTCATTCTTCTTTTCCACTTGCTGCTGCCTTTGCTGGTACTTCAGCATCTCTGGGTTCTCAATAATAGCAGTAGACAGATGTGCCTCAGTCATTATGGCCAAGCTTTTACCATAGGTAGACTGATGGATGTTGCTCTGAAGGGTGTAAAAGTTTTAACACTAAATGGCTGTTGATATCTTGAGAAAGGCTGACAGCAAACTGAGGCAAAACTGAACAGCCTGATCCTGAACACTGGCTTGTCATTCATTCCTACCTTTTCTCCCTTTGCCAAAAATGCTGGTTTTCATCACTGTGTGTTAATAAACGCCAATTGCTATGTTTTCCACGATCTCTAGCAATCGATCTCTTCCTAGTTCTAAAGCTCTGCTTAAACGAAGATGCAATGCACAGAACTAGCGATCCTCAGAATAAAAAACAGGGGTAGGGAACTTTGTATTTAACTGCTGACAATAGCAGGAAGGTAACGTAGGCACAGACAAACAAAAGGATCCCCTTACATTCCTGGGTGCAATCCAAAATATATGACAAACGGGTAACATCACCCTGCATCATCAGCAACATCCTGCCGTTTGTAAAACGAGAGGCTCAAAAATCAAGCCAGGTCAAAAGAATACACTGTACCTTCTCCTCCTCACTCAGGGGATCACCAAGCTCATCTTGGGAAAAATCCAAAAAGGCCACTGACCCATCCATGGAGCACACCAAGATGCCAAGCCCATTTAAGGTCCTGAAGGGCAAGAAGTCAAAGATTTGGTGATTAATACAGTCCATAAAATGGAAGGGGGGGGGGGGGTAACAGCACCTGTAAATTGAAGGCTAAAAGATAGTTGATAGGCTGGCCAACCCTAAATCGTATCTAAATGTTCATAGCCATTGAGAAGCAAAAACATCCTGGGTGTCCCAAAGACACTCCCATGAATCCTCACCACAATTCAGCAAATCCAAACTCAACAGTCACACATGAAGTACATAAACTGAGATGCCAAAATGAAGTGTGAAGAAGAAATGCTGCAGTAGCTCCCATGCCACCAGGGCCATGTGAATACCAGGCCAGGTGTTTACAGTAACAGATATTAAATCGACACATGGAAATTATCCTCTATCAGAGAACCAACGTGAAACCCAAACAGAGAAGCTGGGAAAAGGACACCTCTGGAGCTTATCTGTCAGGTGGCCTTGGTTTTGCACAAGCACGTTATGCTTTGAGAAGAATACTTTGCCACCGAACAATGATGAGAGAAACTGGCACCTATAAGCACCAACACGGAACACATTCCTGCTCCTTCGTTGTGGATCCAAGATTTTCGCAATTCCAAAGTGGCAATTATTAGATACACGTGACTTTATAACACACACACACACACACAAAGGGCTCAACACAGTAGACAGATGCATCGAAAAGGAAGAAAATGATAGGCGATGGATGACACTATTAGAAGGCCTGCCTCAGGAAGTTATGGTTAATTTCACAGTATTTAATGTGTGGAGAAGAGCTATTGCAGTGTTGCAAGGATCAAAAGGCAACCTATCCATCCCCTCACCTTCTCTAATTATTTGATTTCAATGTCTTGCCCACTGGGTCTATTTTGAGCAGCTTTCCAAATGATTTAGGACCCATGGTTTTCAAACCACAGTCCACAGACTTGTGCAAGTTTCTCCGAAGCATATAAGGAATTTGTCAATGAAAAGATCCATAACAACAGACGGGTGTCACCCGGATGACAGTTTGCCATGCCTTCAGCCACAGGAAGGAAGGCAAGGTAATAGCACTGCCTCACAGTCTTGGGTCCAGTGCCTTGCAGCATGAACAGACTGTATGGCAAACAGAGTATACAGGAAAGCAGCTAATATGGTTGGATGTGGTGCGCACAGATACCTTGAATTTCATGAAGTTATAATCGATTGGTAGTCACATCCATGGACATGTCTTCACAAGCAAGCGTTGGCAGAAGAGTGTCCAGCATGCATCATGTGTAATGATTTGTTGACAACACATTACTATAAAATACATGACATTTCTGGGAGAGGCTGCCTCCATCCAAGTAGATTTGGTCCTAAACTGGTGCCAGGCCTCAGTAGTGAACTAAGCAGGGCAACTATAGAGATTCCATCCATCTGACCAGGTGCCCCATCCCGCAGACCACAAATTTTGAATCCGTCTACCTGAGGGTGGGTGACCGGGACAGAATAGGGATTCTGCTAGTGTACCGTCCACCTCGCTGCACTACAGTCTCCCTACCTGAGCTAGCGGGGGGGGTCTCGAGCCTGGCGTTGGAGTCTCAACGGCTTCTTGTGCTGGGAGACTTCAATATCCATGCCGAGGCGACCCTCACAGGAGCGGCTCAGGACTTCATGTCTGCCATGGCAACCATGGGGCTGTCCCAACAAATATCTGGCCCCACCCACTGTGCTGGACACATTGGACTTGGTTTTCTGCCAGGGATGGGAACAGGGTGGCGGTGTGGAGGAGTTGTCCATCTCTCCGTTGCCATGGACTGACCACTTCCTGATCAGATTTAGGCTCACTGCGCCCCTAACCTCTGCAAAGGTGGAGGACCCATTAAGATGGTCCGCCCCAGGAGGCTTATGGATCCGAATGGATTCCTGACGGCTCTTGGGGATTTTCCCGCCACCTCGGTAGGTGACCATGTCGAGGCCTTGGTCGCTCTCTGGAATGGGGAGATGGCCAGGGCAATTGACATGATCGCTCCGGAACGTCCCCTCTCAAGTAGCCGAGCTAAACCAGCTCCTTGGTTTACTGAGGAGCTGGCAGTGATGAAGCGAAGGAAGAGGGAACTAGAGAGCGTGTGGCGTTCGGATCCGAGCGAGTCAAATCGACCACGGTTTGTGTCCTTTTTAAGGGCATATGCCGCGGCAATAAAAGCCGCAAAGAAAACTTTCTTTGCGGCCACTATTGCGTCTGCAAGAAACCGTCCGGCGGAGTTGTTCCGGATTGTCAGAGGTCTTTTAACTCCCGCCACCTCAGGCGGGAGCCCTGACAATTCGGCCATGCGCTGTGAAGCATTTGCTCGGTTCTTTGCAGACAAAGTCGCTTTGATCCGTTCTGGACTGGACGCCGTGTTAAATGCAGTCTCTGAGGATGTGACAAGAGCACCTGCTTGTCCTATTTTGATGGATTCTTTTCAGTTTGTGAAACCCGAGGATGTGGACAAGATACTTGGAGGAATGAGGCCCACCACGTCCATCCTAGACCCCTGTCCATCCTGGCTTCTGAGGGAGGCCAGAGGGGGATTGGCCGAGTGGGTAACGGTGGTGGTGAATGCCTCCCTTCGGGAAGGCAAAATTCCAGCGAGCTTAAAACAAGCTATTATAAAACCGCTGTTGAAGAAACCATCATTGGACCCCACTAAATTGGACAACTTTCGGCCTGTTTCCAATCTCCCCTTTTTGGGCAAAGTCATGGAAAGCGTGGGTGGCCTCACAACTCCAGGTATTCTTGAGAGACACGGATTATCTGGATCCGGCACAGTCTGGTTTCAGACCGGGACATGGTACCGAGACGGTCTTGGTCGCCTTAGTGGATGCTCTGCGCCGGGAGCTAGACAGGGGGAGTGTGTCCCTGTTGGTGCTCCTGGACCTCTCAGCGGCCTTCGATACCGTCGACCACGGTATCCTTCTGGGGCGCCTTGCGGAAATGGGCCTTGGGGGCACTGCTTTGCAGTGGCTCCAGTCATTTCTGGAGGGTCGCACCCAGAAGGTGTTATTGGGGGACTCCTGTTCTACACCACAGCCTTTGACCTGTGGTGTCCACAGGGTTCTATACTGTCCCCCATGCTGTTTAATATCTACATGAAGCCGCTGGGTGAGATCATCCGGAGTTTCGGGGTGCGGTGTCATCTGTACGCAGATGATGTCCAACTCTGTCACTCCTTCCCACCTGCTACTAAGGAGGCTGTCGAGGTCCTGAACCGGTGCTTGGCCGCTGTAATGGTCTGGATGAGGGCGAACAAATTGAAATTAAATCCAGACAAGACAGAGGTACTCCTGGTCAGTCGCAAGGCCGAACAGGGTATAGGGTTACAGCCTGTGCTGGACGGGGTCACACTCCCCTTGAAGGCGCAGGTTCGCAGCTTGGGTGTGACCCTGGACTCATCGTTGAGCCTGGATCCCCAGGTTTCAGCGGTGGCCAGGGGAGCATTCGCACAGCTTAGGCTCGTGCGCCAGCTGCGCCCGTATCTCGGGAAGTCTGACCTGGCCACGGTGGTACACGCTCTTGTCACATCCCGACTGGATTACTGCAACGCTCTCTACGTGGGGCTGCCCTTGAAGACGGCCCGGAAGCTTCAGCTAGTCCAGCGCGCGGCAGCCATGTTACTAACTGGAGCGGAACGCAGGGAGCACACAACGCCCTTGTTGTACCAGCTCCATTGGCTGCCGACCTGCTACCGGGCCCGATTCAAGGTGCTGGTGTTAGCCTACAAAGCCCTAAACGGTTCCGGCCCAAAATACCTTCAGACCGCATCTTGGCCTATGAGCCCACGAGGACCTTGAGATCGTCTGGGGAGGCCTTCTCTCGATCCCGCCTGCCTCACAGGCACGCCTGGCGGGGACGAGAGAGAGGGCCTTCTCAGTGGTGGCCCCCCGGCTGTGGAACACTCTCCCTGTAGACATCAGACAGGCGCCCTCCCTTATGTCTTTCCGTAAAAGCCTAAAGACATGGCTGTTTGAGAAGGCATTTAATTAAGTGCTATAATAATGTGGTAAAGACGACTGGAATGGAATAAGGAATATGAGATTGGTTACAATTCTACTATGAGACGGAGCGGATTTTTTAGTGTAATTATATAATTGTTGTATTGTGGATATGTTGTTTGTAATTGCCTTTTGTAAATTGCCTTTTATATGTTGTACACCGCCATGAGTCGCCCTAAAAGGGCTGAGAATGGCGGTCAACAAATGCACCAAATAAAATAAACTAAAATGAAACTTAATCCAGAAAGGAAAGACATCCACCTGTTCACTTGAAAGACAGATCTGGAAATGGGGATTCCATCTGTTTTCAATGGAGTTATATTTGCCATGAAAACACATGTTCACAATTTGGCGATCAATTTATCTCTGAGCCTGGAGTATGTGCTTTTAACTTAATCTTTGATCTTTGATATTGTTGTTTTTAAATTGTTTTTAAATTGTGTTAGATTTTAGCCTGTTCTTGTAAGCCGCTCAGAGCCCCAGGGGAGTGGCGGCATGTAAGTTTGAATAATATATAAATAAATAAATAAATAGTTTCATTATCTTCCAATTAAGCTTTATATTTATCCTTTTATTTACACGTTTGTATAGTTTTTAATTTGGATTGTTTTAAATGTGTTGCGATCTACCAAGCTCCACCGAGCCCCATAATTGGGAGAAAGGCAAGAAGTGATTTTAATGTTTATGTATATGTATAGTCTATTCATGTCCCGGTATTGAATGTTTGCCGCTTATGTGTTGTGCTCTGCTCTGAGTCCCCTTCGTGAGAAGGGCGGGAAATAAATGCTTTAAATAAATAAATAATAACTAAGAATAAATGAATAAAACAATAGCAATAATATATGTATGTATGTGTATATCTTCAAAATTGTATTAATTATATATATATTATATAATATGCTTTCAAAACAATATATATATATATATATATATATATATATATATATATAAAAATAGTATGTTTATTTATTTATTTAGAGCTTTTATAGCCCGGTCTTCTCGACCTCCGAAGAGGGACTCGGGCCGGCTAACAGCAGAAAATTCAACACAAATATAGTAAACATAATAGCATCATAATACATTAATACAAAATACATTAAAATACAGATCATACAATATCATACAATTACAAAAGCCATGTCATCAGAATTGTGTGTGTGTGTGTGTGTGTGTATATATATATATATATATATATATATTTCCAACACACACACACATAGATCTTTTTCTCTCTTCAAAATTGTATCATATGAATATATAAAGTATCTCTTAAAATTATATTAATTATATGAATATGTATACAATATTACATATATCTCCATATGGAGCCCTCAGTGGCACAGTGGGCTAAACCACTGAACTTCTGAACTTGCTGACCAAAAGGCCGCCAGTTCAAATCCAGGGAGCGGGGTGAGCTCCCGCTGTTAGCCTCAGTTTCTGCCAAACTAGTAGTTTGAAAACATGCAAATGTGAGTAGATCAATAGGTACCGCTCTGGCGGGAAGGTAAAGGTGCTCCATGCTGTCATGATGGTTATATGACCTTGGAGGTGTGTATGGACAAGCTCTTTGGTTTAGAAATCGAGATGAGAACGAATCCCCAGGGTCAGACATGACTCAGGGGAAAACCTTTACCTTTATCTTATATATATATATCTCTTCCAAATTGTTGTATTAATTATACTAACATATACCTTCAAAATTGTACTACATTAATATATATATATATATATATATATATATATATATATTCTAAAGTACATTAATTATAGGAGTATAAATATATATTTCTTCAAAATTGTGTTAATTATACTTGTATATGTGTATATATATACATAATATACCTTCAAATTGTATTAATTATGTATCTATATCTATAATATATCTATATATCTTCACAATTGTATTAATTGTATGAATATTGACATAACTTCCCAACACTCCTCAAAGTGCCTTGAGTTTTGGTTTTGGGGAGACAGGTGATAATAATACTTTGAATATTAACAGCAATGTTGAATATTAACAGCAATGATGATTTTACTACCCAAGGGTTTCATCAACTTTGAACGCTGAATTTTCCCCCTCAATGCTTTTCCTTTGCCTTACAATGTGACCGATTCAAGGCCGCTCTGAACAGTTTGAGACAGAGTGCCCCAAGAAGCCTTGAAATGGGGATGAAATAGTCTTAAGCTAAAGATCAATAGACCCTCCTTGGCCTACTCACTTCTGCGAGGCCTTTTAGGCTGCTGGAATCAGCAAGCCTCAGCTCAGCAGCTCCCTCATGGAGTTCTCCTTCCTTCACAGGAGGCTGCTCACTAACACTTCCCCACCTGCAGGGGGAATGATTGAGAACAGGGGCAATTTCCTTCCACTCGAAGAACCACTGTGCCATCTAATGGCCAGGAGGCAGTACTGCACCGTCACCCATACAGCATAGTGGGCCCTTTCTATCTGTTGGACCTCAGCACATATCCAAATCTACAAACCCTCCAATCCCATGGCGTCGTAAAACCTCTTTTATAAAATGGCCAAATCAATGGTAGAATCTGTGGATACGGAGGGCCAACTGTGCAGATATTCTCAATTGAGCTGTCAGAATTTAAATGAGCTGTTGGAATTTAAAACGCAACTGAAGGCCTACCCAGCCAGTTGTAACTGGGTCTTTTAAATCACCTTCGATGTTTATTGCATTTTCTCTCTTGTCTTGGGGATTTTAAGATGTGCTTTCACAGTTGCATTTCAGCCATGCTTTCATATGAAGCTCAGGTCGCTGCTGCCAGAAAACAGGCCTTTTTCCATCTACGACAAGCGAAGCAACTGGCACCCTACCTATCTGACGAGGCTCTGGCAACTGTCATCCATGCCACGGTCACGTCTAGGCTGGACTATTGCAACGCCCTGTATGTGGGCCTTCCGATGTCTACGACCCGAAAGCTTCGTATTGTTCAGAATGCAGCAGCCAGGTTACTCACAAGAACGCCCATGAAATGCCATATAACACCAGTGCTGCAACATTTACATTGGCTTCCAACTGAGTACCGTGGCCTGTATAAGATGCTAGTTCTGACCTTTAAAACTCTTTACGGCCAGGGTCCATCGTACCTTAGGGACCGCCTCTCCTTCTCCCATCATCGGAGGGCGCAACGACCAGCCCAACGTGACTTACTCCATATACCGGGTCCTAGAGAAGTGCACTTGGAAAGGACCAGACGCAGGGCTTTTTCTATTTCTGCCCCTGCCTTGTGGAATTCCTTGCCGCCCTACATGAGAGCCATGCGTGACTTAGGGCCTTTTACTCTCGCACTTAAGACCTGGCTTTTTACTAGAGCATTCGATCTCTGTTGATTTTTAATTTTTGTATGTATGTATTTTATCTTTTTAATTTAGCTGTAAATCGCCTGGAGCATTCTCGGATGGAGGGCGATTAATACGTTATTAAATGACGACGATGATGATGATGATATGAGACTTTATAAGCACATTGAGGCCCCTTCTACACTGCCTGATATCCCAGGATCTGATCCCATTTCATCTGCTTTGAATTGGATTATATGAGTCTACATTGCCATATAATCTGGGATAAGAAGGCAACCTGGGATGAAATCCTGGGATAAAGGGCAGTGTAGATCCAGCCTAAGAATGCTGTGCCTGTATCCGAAAGGAGAGGAGGATAATACATTGTTGTTGTTGTTGATGATGATGATGATGATGTTAGTTCCTAAATCCATTCCATAGGACACCTGAATGAAACTTTGCTTGACCAAAACAGTTTAAGAAACTATGATCCTCATCCACACAGCCATATAATCCAGTTTCTGAATCTGGATGATCTGTTTTGAACTGGATTACAGTATATACTCGAGTATAAACCGATCCGAATATAAGCCGAGGCACATAATTTTACCACAAAAAACTGGGGAAATGTATTGCCTCGAGTATAAACAGAGGGTGGGAAATGAAGCAGCTACTGGTAAATTTCAAAATAAAAATAGGTACCAATAAAATTACATTAATTGAGGCATCAGTAGGTTAAATGTTTTTGAATATTTACATAAAACTGAAATTTAAGATAAGACTGTCCAGCTCTGATTAAACCATTATTCTAAGCTTCTTCAATGTAAAATAATAAATGTAATAAAATAACAGTAATAGAGTAAAATAATGTAACTGTAATAATAATAATAATAATAATAATAATAATAATAATAAATAGAGTAAAATAATAAATGTAAATAATATTAATAATAACACAGAAAAATAATAAATGACATTGACTTGAGTATAAGTCGAGGGGGGCTTTTTCAGCCTAAAAAAGGGCTGAAAAACTCAGCTTATACCCGGGTACATACGGTAAATGGCTGTGTAGACTCATATCATCCAGTTCAAAGCAGATAATCTGGATTTAGAAACTAGATTGTATGGCAGTGTAGATGGGGCCTATGAGAAACTTTAGAGTCCCAAGATTATGCTTCTCCACACTTTTTCAAAACCATGGCATTAAAAACCCCACAACTTCCTCTTGGCTACAGATGCCCGGGCAATGGAAATAAAGGACATTATTTTGATACACATTTGTTGCACGCCTTAGGCATATAAATACACAAAAACAAAGCAGGAAATTATTGTCAGTTTATGTCTTTAGGAAGAGAACTGAAAGACATTAGAAGTCAAATATGATAGGATGTCTGTTCGGTGACACTATGAATGAAGGTGACGTAGCAAAACCCAAAAGCGACAGGATGAGTGGATGGAAAATGATCACATTTCTGCACAATTTCCTGGCCTAGAATCAAAGCCGTCTTACCATGAGATGTCCATAATCGACTTGTCAAACAGCTCGTGAATGACCACCAAAGGCCTTTTCAGACATGTCAGCTAAAGAAAAAAAAAGTTGGAGACTGGTGAATGTCATTGGCCATCTTCAAACTAGCTGAGTAATAAATTTATTATTATTATTATTATTATTATTATTATTAGTAGTAGTAGTAGTAGTAGTAGTAGTATTCCCTACTACCTTTAAGATTTAGCCACAGATTGAAAAGCAGTCTATGTGTTAAAGGCATGCTAGTAGTATTTCCAATAGTAAAAATAATCTAGAGGTAGAGAGGTACACTTTTATGCAAAACTACAGAGACAGAATAAGGCTTGAGATAGCCTGCTAAACCAATAATATCCAGGGAAGTCAGAGTGATCCCATCAAAAAGAGACCCTGAATGCACAACAAGCGATGCTTCTCTATCTTGACCCAAGTCTGGACCACAAGATTAAGACCACATGCTGCTTATTTTTTCTTTGAACAAAACCCTCTTCTGGCAGGCCTATCGGTCAGTCCAAGTGTGACTGGAATCCAACTTCCACCATCCTCTGTCAACCATCCCAAACCCCGCTAGTATTTTAAACTGAAGGTTCTGTGTGCCAAATTTAGCCCACAACCATCATGGCTGGGATTCACATGTCTCCCTGTATTTGGGTGTACTTTAGCTCCCATAATCCTCTATCAGTCCATCCCCTCCAGACACCACCACTATTTTAAGTTGGTCATGATGGGTCTGTGGGCCCAATTTGGCCGAGATCCATCAAGTTCTATAAGACCCTTTGTGGATTACAGGCAGCTAAAAACAAAGAGGACCCAATACAAAACAGGTCTATACAGTTTTAAGTATGAATTTTAAAATCACATTATATTTTTATTGCATTTTAACTTCTGTGTCATGTGTTTTAATATGCGTATGTTTTAGTATGTACCTTTATGGAATGGATTTTAACTAGGTTTTAATATGTGCTTTTATAGCTATGTTTGGTATAAGTTGATTAATAATAATAATAATAATAATAATAATAATAATAATAATAATCTTTATTTATAGACTGCCCTATCTCCCCAAAGGGACTCAGGGCGGTTTCCAACAAATATGGCAAACATTCAATGCCAAAAGAAAACCATAGAAACAGTTTGCGTCAGGACAAGATACATTAGACAATATAGAACAACGTAACTGTAACTTAATAAATAAAATAGCAAAAAAATAAAAATAAAACAAAATAAAAATAAAAACATTATAAAATACAAAAATCCTGATAAACACACTAAGAATCAAATATAAAACTGAATACATCAGAGCTCCATCAGGTGAGGTTCAACAATAGTAATGGCCAGGAGTACTAAAATGGACCTAATCAACTATCAAAGGGCTGGATGAGGGATAGTGCAAACAGCGTATCATAGGGCCGGGGAAGTGGATGAAGTGGTGACCTAGAGACTGGGCCTAGGAAATCATCGCTCTCAAAAACTTGCTGGAACATCCAGGTTTTCAGTTCACTACGAAAGGAGGACAGTGTGGGGGCTTGCCCTATCTCCCTGGAGAGGGAGCGCCAAAGTTGGGTGGCCACCACTGAGAAGGCCCTCTCCTTCGTCCTCACCGTGCTTGTGACAGTGGTGGAAGTGAGAGGAGGGCCTCCCTGGCAGATCTTAGAACCCACACCGATTCATAGGGAGATGTGATCATAAGGATAAGCAGGGCCTGAACCATTTAGGGCTTTGTAAGTCATAACCTGCACTTTGAATTGGGACTGGAAATGTATCAGCAGCCAATGGAGCTGCTTTAATAGGGGCAATCTCGATGTAACCAAGGCATGGATCACTGTGGCCAAGTCAGGATATCTGAGGTACGGTTGCAGATGGCGCACAAGCTTTAACTGTGGGAAGGCCCTCCTGGTCACTGCCAACACCTGAGCATCAAGCATCAGTGTTGAATCTAGGAGGATGCCCAGACTGCAGACCTATCCTCAGGGGGAGTGTAACCCCGTCGAGCACAGGTTGCTACGCAAAACCCCAATCAGCCTAACGACTGACCAGGAGGACCTCTGTCTTGTCTGGATTAAGCTTCAGCTTGTTAGCCCTAATCCAATCCATCACGGCTGCCAGGTACTGGTTCAGGATCTGGGAGACTTCCTTGGAATTTGGTGGAAAAGAGAAGTAGAGTTGAGTGTCATCTGCGTACAAATGGCACCAAACTCCAAAACTCCAGATGACCTCACCCAGCAGTTTCATGTAGATATTAAAAAGCAAGGGAGATAGAATGGAACCTTGCAGGACCCCACAGGTAAATGGCCAGGGGTCCTAGCAGGAGTCGCCCAGCTTCACAAACTGGTTGCGATCTTCCAGGAAGGAGCAGAGCCACTGCAAAACAATGCCCCTAAGACCCATTCTGGAGAGCCGACCCAGAAGGATACCATGGTTGATGGTATCGAAAGCCACTGAGATATCCAAGAAAACCAACAAGGACACACTCCCCCATCTAGCTCTCTGCGGAGGTCATCCACCAAGGCGACCAAAGTCATTTCTGTACCGTGACCAGGCCTAAAACCAGACTGCGATGGATGAAGATAATCGGTATCATCCAAGAATTCCTGGAGCTGAGAAGCTACCAATTGCTCTAGAACCTTGTCCAAAAAAAGAAGATAAGAAATTGGCCAATAGTTATTCAATACTGAGGAATCTACTTATATGTGTATGTATGTGTGTTTTTTATCTATGAAACTTAATAATTTATTGTATTTATTGTAATTTATTGTTCATTTGTTTTTGAATTTGTTGTACCCCGCCTTGAGCCATCAAGAGAGGCGGGTAATAAATAAAATGTACGATTATTATTATTATTGTTATTATTATTATTATTTACTAATAGAGATGTATTTGACTATGTTGTGTGTCGCCTCAAGCTGAAAGGAGAGGTGGGTAATAAATTATTATTATCATAATCATAATCATCATCATCATCATCATCATCATCATTATTACTATTATCATTATTTGAAACACAACAAGATTAGTACACAGCAAACAAGATCACTCTGCTGGTTGTTGGATTGGATCACATAGTCCTAGACACTTCCCAAGTGTCTAGGACTATGTGATGGATCGGCAAATAATGCGTGCAGATCCCAGCAGGATTATTACCATTATTACTGTTATTATTGTTGTTGTTATCATGCAGTTCTAAGATGCACTTTCCCCCCTATATAAACATCTCTAAAAATGGGGTGCGTCTTAGAATCACAGGTGTATTTTTGTTGGTGGTAATGGTACTGAAGTTAGGGGGTGTCTTACAGCTGACGGCTTCTTACAATTGAAGAAATATCATATTATTATATTATTAAATTCTAAGTTGCACTTTTCCCCCTTACATAAACATCTCTAAAAATGGGGTGCATCTTAGAACCATAGGTGTATCTTATATAATTTTGGTGATGGTCCTGCAATTAGGGTGCATCTTACAATCGATACCATCTCACAATGGAAGCAATATGTTGTTGTTGTTGTTGTTATTATTATTATTATTATTATTATTATTATTATTATTACATTTTTCAATCTAAGATGCAATTTTTTAATACAAACATCTCTAAAAATTGGCTGTGTCTTGTAGGTGTATTTTATTATATTTTTGTTGGTGGTGATGGTACTGATATTAGGGGATGTCTTACGACTGATAGCATCTTAGAATTGAAGAAATATATTATTATTATGTTTCTTCAATTCTAAGGTGCACTTTTCTCCTGAATAAACATCTTTAAAATTGAGGTCCATCTCAGAATGCCAGGTGTATCTTACGTATTTTTGTTGGTAGTACTGAAATTAGGGTGTGCCTTACAATCAATGGCATCTTACAATTGAAGAAATACAGTATTATTATTGTTACTTACCCAGACAGAAAGAGAGCGGTCTTTGCTTCCAACGGCACAGCAACAATATGGACAGGTAGGCTTTGTTGAACTTCCATTTTTTTGCTTCTTTTTGAAGATTTTTGGGTTGAATTTCTAAGAACGAAAAAGGCTCCTCTTAAAAGTTCATAGAGCCATAGAGTTGGAAGAGACGTCGTGGGCCATCCAGTCCAACCTCATTCTGCCAAGAAGCACGAAAACCCCCAATAGATGGCCATCCAGCCTCTGTTTCAAAGCCTCCAAAGAAGGAGCCTTCACATTTCAGGGCAGAGATTTCCATTCCTGAACAGCTCTCACAATTAGAAAGTTCTTCCTAATGTTCAGGTGGAATCTCCTTTCCTATAGTTTGAAGCTGTTGCTCTGCGTCCCAGTCTCCAGGGCAGCAGAAAACAAGATTGCTCCCTCCTCCCTTTGATTTCCCCTCACATCTTGATCCATGGCCCTCATCATGTCTCCTCTCAGCCTTCTCTTCTTCAGGCTAAACATTCCCAGCCCTTTAAGCCGCTTCTCATAGGGCTTGCTCTCCAGACCCTTGATCATTTGAGTCGTCCTCCTTTGGACACATTCCAGCTTAGAGTCAACATCTCCCTTCAATTGCAGTGCCCAGAACTGGACACAGTGTGATTCCAGGTGTGGTCTGACCAAGGCAGAATAGAGTTGTATGACTTCCCTGGATCGAGACACTAGACTCCTAATTATGCAGGCCAAAATCCCATTGGCTTTTTTAGCTGCCGCATCACATTGTTGGCTCATGTTTAACTTGTTGTCCACAAGGACTCCAAGATCTTTTTCACACGTCCTTCTGTCGAGCCAAGCATAGTCCCCAATTCTGTATCTTTGCATTTCATTTTTTCTGCCTAAGTGGAGTGTCCTGCATTTGTACCCATTTAATTTCATTTTGTTAGTTTTGGCCAATCAGTTCTCTAATCTTTGAGTCGCCTAAGGGCTGAGAAAAGAGGTATATAAATGAAGTAAATAAATAAATAATTTGTTAAGACAGTCTTGAATTCTGCTCCTGTCTTCTGGAGAATTAGTTATCCCTCCCAATTTGGTCCCGTCAGCAAACTTGATGATCATGCCTTCTAACCCTTCATCTAAGTCATTAATAAAGATGTTGAACAGAACCAGGCCCAGGACGGAACCCTGATTCTGGCACTCCGCTCGTCACTTCTTCCCACGATGAAGAGGAAGCAGTGGGGAGAATCATCCTTTGGGTTCATTCGCTTAACCAACTACAGATTAACTGTAGTTTTACCTAGTGCCTTCATGCACTGGGATTCTAAAAAACATCTCACACTTTTTATATTCAGAAGTATTTCCCATCCCAATCAGAATTTCATCAATCAAAATGCTCCATCTGGGTGAGCCTTTTTTTTTTTTTTGACTTGCCTATATCACCTGCCCGTATTTGTACTGCATTGGTTTGAATTCTGGATGGCTACATCAAGCTTTTGGGATGGAAAGCGACTTACCACCACCGTCACCGCTTTGCGATGCCCTACAAAATCCATATTGGTTTTCCACCCGTCCCTCTCAATGATTTGTGCTGTGGGCCCGGAGTTATTCATGGCATGAGCAGAAACGAGGTAGTGCCCATCCGGCGACCAGCTGAGACGCAAGACGTGGGTCGTCCCTCCGCACTGAAAACAAAATAAAGCCACCCTAAAGAATCTGATGTTACTTGTGAGTTTGGAAATGTACAAGGGATAAATTTGTACAACATTTTAGCATTCCCATTTTCATGGACGCTACCTGTCACTGGTGTCAATGGAAATTTTTGTTTGCACAAAATCTCCCCCTTGGAAGGGAAATCCACTCCTGGAAGTCTTATCATGAGGAAAAGGGGTCTCCACTGAAGCTTTATCTCCAATACTTGTTTCCACAACAAGTCACATTTTTCAAAACCCAATTTCCCCAGGGACAGAAAGTGAGGTGAAATCTTCTGAACAGGGGCACAGACAGCAAACCAAACACCACAGGGTGTTAACCCTTCCCTATGTTATCCAAAGTTTATTATATATATATATATATATATATATGGAGTTGCACTTTAAAAAATGTACCTGTTGCAACTTACAAACAAATTCAGTTTAAAAACAAATCGACAGAAAATATCTTGTTAGTAACTTGAGGACTGCCTGCATATGTATTTCATAGAAATGCATTTTAATATGTGTTTCATACAATATTTTATAATGACGAGTTTTCAGCTGTGTTGTACTCCGCCATGAGGAGAGGAAAGTAAGAAATAAAATTATATTAAAATACAATATATGATACACTATAAGAATATATTATGCCGTATATACTAGAAGATAAGTTGAGTTTTTCAGCTCTTTTTTGGGGCTGAAAAAGCCTCCCTTGGCTTATAATGGGGTCAAGCTAGGCAGTGGAGCCTAGATGTCATTGCTTGAAATATATATTTCTCTCTCTTCTTCCCCTCACAGTGTGTTTTCTTTTCCATATCCTCCCTCATTCTTCTTCTCCTTCCAGGCTGGAGTTGCCCATTTTGAAAACTCTTATTTTTTTTAAAAAAAGAGAGAGAGAAGGGGATGCTTTGAAAAGGGAAAGGAGGATGCCAGGAAGAATAAAAAGATGGTGTATTTACTTTATATGTGCATTTTTGTTCCCTTGGAAGTGTTCACTGGCCTTTGCCTGAGGGCTGAGAAAAGCGGTATAGAAATAAAGTAAATAAATATAGAAATAAAGTAAATATAGATCTATAAATACGTTTCTATTTATGTATGTTTCTCCTGAAGTCTTTGCAAACCGTATGTATCCATTAATCTTATAAAAGCATCTTCCCCTGAAATATTTGTTATCTCCTACAGATATATAGGCATTTCCCCATGCAAGCCTTTGCAATCCCTATGTACCTCTATATGTCTGTCTGTCTATCTATACACATTAATTTTATATGTGCATTTTCCCCTCATAAGTGTGCAGGTCTTTGCAAATCCTATATGCATATAGATATCTAGAGATTTCCATGTATCTGCTTATCTGTATCTATATATATACATTATTTTTATATATGAATTTTCCCCTCACATGTTTGCAAGTCTCTGCAAATCCTATATAGATATAGATAAATATATAGAGGTACCTATATGACTTCTCTGGATCTAGACACTAGACTATTTAAGCAGGCCAAAACCCCATTGGCTTTTCTAGCCACCACGTCAAATTGTTGGCTTATGTTCACCTTCCTATCCACAAGGACTTCAAGATCTTTTTCACATGTACTGCTGTCGAGCCAGGCCTCCCCGATTCTGTATCTTTGCATTTCATTTTTTTTTTGCCTAAGTGGAGTGTCTTGCATTTGTCCCTGGTGAACTTCATTTTGTTAGCTGTGGCCAATCATCTCTCTAATCTGTTCAGGATAGAACCCTGCTTATGACACTCCACTCGTCACCCTTTGGGGTCGTTCACTTCACCAATTACAGATCCACCTAAATGTAGTTTTGCTTAGCTCACATTTGACTAGTTTGTTTGCCAGAGAACAGGGACATTTCAATACAAACCCTGTGAGCCCCAGAACATGGCCTACGATTCTGTTAAATCACATGAAAGTCACTGGCACCTTCAACGCATTTCTTTTGGTTCAGTCAATCAATTTGTTTATTGTACCAGACCAAGGCCATGAGAAAAAGTGACAAAACGTACTGAAAAGTATGTTCAGAGCAAATAAGGAACAGGAGACACTGAACAAAGCTTATTCTCGCTCTCATACAAAAAATACAAACATTATGGATTGCAGATAAATTACAAATAAAATTCAGGGAGGGGGGAATCGAATTAGCACTTTGTGTCTCTAAGACCATTCATGGCAATTTTATCTAAGTGCTGCATATTCCTTGGAGCCACTCCAAAAAACCTGAACCGATTGTACAAAAGAGTTCCCGTTTTCATTGGTCAGCAAGGGTTTATGCTCTTTTGGTTATCCTCCTCCATCTTCTTCTTTGTTTTATAGCTTTCCCCTTTGTTAGCCATGGCTCTAAGCCAGTGTTTCTCAACCTGGGGGTCGGGACCTCCGGGGGTGTTGTAAGGGGGTGTCAGAGGGGTCGTCAAAGACCATCAGAAAATACAGTCTTTTCTGTTGGTCATTGGGGTTCTGTGTGGGAAGTTTGGCCCAATTCTCTCATTGGTGGGGTTCAGAATGCTATTTGCTTGTAGGTGAACTATAAATCCCAGTAACTACAATTCCCAAATGTCTAGGTCTAATTTCCCTCAACTCCACTAGTGTTCATGTTTGGGCATATTGAGTATCTGTGCCAAGTTTGATCCAGATCCATCATTGATTGAGTTCACAGTGCTCTGGGTGTAGGTGAACTACAACTCCCAAACTCAAGGTAAATGCCCACCAGACCTTTCCAGTATTTTCTGTTGGTCATGGGAGTTCTTTGTGCCAAGTTTGGTTCAATTCCATTGTTGGTGGAGTTCAGAATGCTTTTTGATTATAGGTAAACTATAACTCCCAGCAACTATAACTCCCAAATGACAAAATCAATCCCCCCCCCCCAAAAAAAAAACTACCAGTATTCAAATTTGGTTGTATCGGGTATTTGTGCCAAATTTGGTCCAGTGAAAGAAAATACATCCTACATATCAGATATTTACATTACGATTCATAACAGTAGCAAAATTACAGTTACGAAGTAGCAACGAAAATAATTTTATGGTTGTGGGTCACCACAACATGAGGAACTGTATTAAGGGATCACGGCATTCGGAAGGTTGAGAAACACTGCTCTAAGCAATCAACCAGGTTATAAATACGACACACCCATACACCTTTTCCTTCTCAAAGAAGAACAAGTGGGTTCCCCAAATAGGTTTGCCGCAGCTTGGGTCACAGGAGTTGACAGCAAAGATTGATCACTCAAATAATAGAAGAATGGCATAATTATACTAAAGAAAGGGACATTGCTAAACAATTTAGGGAATTCTACAAAAGATTATACAAAAAAGGCACAGTGAAGAAGGAAGACATAATAACATTTATTTCCAACCAAAAAATATCCAAAATTTCTGATAAAGAAAGAGAGCTCCTAAATACACCGATAAAAGAAGACGACGTAAATGAGGCCATAAACAAATTGGCAAACAACAAGGCGCCAGGACCTGATGGCTTCACGGCACAATATTATAAATTATTTAATGAAGAACGAGTTACACATTTAAAAGAAATTATGAATAATATAATGGAAGGACAAGAGATGCCGGAAACCTGGTGGGAGGCATACATAACATTAATCCATAAGGAGAATACAGATCACACAAATGTTAAGAGTTATCGTCCTATATCACTCTTAAACTGTGACTACAAGATTTTTGCAAGCATAGTTGCTGCAAGATTCAAAGGATTACTTTAAAAAAGAGTTAAGGAAGATCAGAGAGGATTCCTCCCGAACACAGTTGAGGGATAACATAAGATCAATTTTGAATATAGTGGAGTACTACGAGAAGAACAGACAAAAAGAAGTAGGCCTTCTCTTCCTCGATGCCGAGAAGGCGTTCGATAACACGAACTGGGATTTCTTAACACATACATTAAAAGAAATGGACGCCGGCCACCAGATATTAAATGTCATTAAATCCATATATGCCAAACAATCGGCAAAAATCATAGTGAATGGTCAATGCACCGAGAAAATTAAAATACAAAAGGGAGTGAGACAGGGATGCCCCCTATGAGCCGCCGCAAACTCTGTTCCTGCGGGAGCAAACCTTGCTAGCACGTCCCTGACGTCATGAGCCTGCGCCTCTCGCCCCGCCCCTTTCTCTGCCCCTTTCTCTTTGCCAGCGTGGTTTTTCCTTTGCTAGGGCAGCATTGCCCGCATTTTCTCTCAGTTGAATTCTGCCAACTGAGAGAGTATGCTGGCAATGCTGCCCTAGCAAAGGAAAAACCACTCTCGCAAGAAGAGGCGGAGAAAGGGGCGGGGCGAGAGGCGGAGTCTCGTGACGTCAGGGACATGCTAGCAAGGTTTGCTCCCGCAGGAACAGAGTTTACGACGGGTCTATCCCTGCTATTGTTTATACTGGTATTAGAAACTCTTCTAGAGGACTTAAGAACAGATAAAGACTTAAAGGGCACAAAGATTAGATCCGAGGAATACAAAGTCTTGGCATTTGCGGATGATGTGGTATGCATTATGGAAAATCCGACTGAACTCGCTTAATGGTTAATAAAAATTGAGGAATTTGGGAAGCTAGCTGGATTTAAGATAAACTGAAGTAAGACCAAAATACTAACTAAAAATGTAAAGGCAGATGGAAAAGATAAGATCACTAAAGAAACAGGAATGGAAATAGTCAAAAAATTTAAATATTTAGGAATAACAATCTCTGCATCTAATGCAAGCCTATTTAAAGATAACTACAAAAAGGTATGGGAAAATATCCAAAAGAAACTTAAAAACTGGAAATACCTTAATTTATCTTTATTGGGGAGAATCTCTGTTATCAAAATGAATGTGTTGCCCAAGCTGATTTTTCTGTTTCAAACGATCCCTATTATTAAAACATGTGTGCTTTAAAAAATGGAATAAGGACATCTTAAACTTTATCTGGGATGGCAAAAAACCAAGGATTAAATACAAAAATTTAACAGATACAAGATACAGGGGAGGTCTGGCAATGCCTGACCTACAATTGTATTTTGAAGCGTGTGCTCTGTCTTGGACCAAAGCGTGGGCTACCCTTGAGCCAAAAAGAATTCTGACTCTCGAAGGATATGACATCAGAAGAGGATGGCATGCCTACTTGTGGTACAGAACGGCAAAGGTAGAATTTTTTTTTAACAATCACTATATTAGATCTTCCTTACTAAAAGTTTGGAACTAATACAAGGGCTACATCGACACCAGAACACCCAAGTGGATATCACCATCGGAGGCATTCCATAAGAGAGAGCTACCTAGGGAAAGATGGCTCAGTTATAAACAACTCCTGATAAAAGACAATAATGAATGGCGTATAAAAACCATGGAAGAACTTAAAGAGATAGATGAGGAAATTGGATGGTTTCACTACTTACAGGCTAAAGAATATTTTAAGGAAGATTGTAAAGTTGGCTTTAATGACAAAATGACACCTGTTGGGATATTATAATGAGAAAGGAGAAAAAAGTGATTAAATTACTATATCAGAGCCTACTGGAGTGGAGCAATGAAAAAGACTTGGTAAAGGGAAATATGACCAAGTGGGCAAGAGATATAGGTCGCTCCATATTGCTTAAAGAATGGAACAGGTTTGGAAAGATAAAATAAAAATCACAAGCTATCCCCATAATAGAAAACTGCTATAAAGTATTATATCGATGGCATCTAACGCCAGTCCAACTAGCCAAATTCAATAGAAAACACAACAATTTATGTTGGAAATGCAAGAAAGAAATATGAGCATACTACCACCTATTCTGGAGTTGTAATGAGATTCAAAAGTTCTGGTCACTGGTCCACAAACACATACAAAACATAATTAAAACGAAATTCGACATGAAACCAGAGTATTATCTACTGAATATAACAAATCTTGACTTAAAGAACAACGAGGAAAAACATTTCTTTTACTTATCAGCAGCGGCAAGAATATTAATTGCACAAAGATGGAAGACTAAAGAAATACCTTCAAACGAGGACTGGATTAAGAAGGCTACAGAATGTATGGACTTGGACAGAATTTCATGTTTAATAAAGGACCAGAGTAAGGGAAAACAAACTAATTGGAACCAATTAAAAGAATACCTAAAAGGAAAAAACAAACTCAATATATAATATTAGCTAAAAGGAATTAAACAGAACAAAGAATAAAAATTAGACCATAAGAAGACGTTAAAAATTGAAAGATATTACCTCTGTGGACTGAACGGAAGTTACAATGGCTCTCCCCCCCCCCTTTTTTTCTTTTTCTCTCCCCCTCAGATGTCCTCCCCAGACACCCTCTACCCACTCTCTATCTAATTTCCTACTTTTCTGTTACCACGATTGTTCTCCCTCTTTCACTGTTAAAGGAAAAATCACAATAAAGATTATTCATAAAGAAAGAAAAAGAAAATGTTAACGGTGTCCTGTCATAAGGTAATGCCTTAAATAAATTATGTCATTTATATATTTCCTGCCTTTATATTCCAAAGTGAGATCTAAGGAAGCTTAAGGCAACACTTGGCCGGCAACGGCCCCCCAGCTCTAGAACTCTCTCCCTAGATAGACTGGCACCCACCCTGTCCACGTTTTGCAAGGACCTAAAAACAAGGATGTTTTACTGTGCCTATGACTAAACAGTTCACCAGATAACTGTCCCCTAATTGTAATTTACCAACAGCTCTTGCACTTTAGCATTGCCCTCTGCCCTATAGACCTGGCATTCCAATGCCAAATGACATTACCCTTCCAGCCATAACTTTTACTGGATTTTGCACTTCTCCATTAGTCCTGTCCTGAAACTATTGCACAAATTCTTAGCCCTCCGAGCTCAGTATTTACTACGGTTCAGCCTAGGGATTGTTTGTATGATGTTGTGTTGTGTTATTGCGATGTGTTTATTTTATTTTTGATTATTTTGATTTTATTTTATTGTGTTGTGTTTCATTCTATGTTTTCCAGACTTGTCCCTACGTCAGCCGCCCCAGTCCCTTTGGGGAGATGGAGGTGGGGCATAAAAATAAAGTTATTATTATTATTGAAACAACAGCCATGGCATGTACCTCATCAAACGGTTTGGTGATGCTGGTTTCAAGCTGCCAGTCCATAGTCCGCCACACTTTCAAGCTCCGGTCGTCCGCTTGGGAGGCAATGTATTTCCCGACCGGGTCCCACGTTAGCCCTTTAACCAAGCCAGAGTGACCCTTCAGCGTGGCAAGGATTTCTAAAGGCGAGAAGGAGGGGTTTCAGAAAAGAAACTTGGGGACTGAAAGGGTGTCTGGAAAGAAACAACTGGCAAAAAAAGCTGGGGGAGGTTCAAAAAGTCTAGCTGTAATGGGAAACATCTGGCCCTTTAGATATTGCCAGGTTACCATTCCCATCATGAGTGACTTTGCTGTCTGGGGCTCTTGGGAGACAGCATATGATGATATACAGTATAATTCCAAGGCCTTGGAAGATAAGATACAGCAATGGTTTCCAATGGTTCCCACCCTTTGGAAGACCTTTTACATGCATGGAACCCTAACTGTATCCCTAAACCTTGTGAACCCACAAAGTCCTTCCTTCTTTCATCTTCTCCTATGGTCGGAGTGTTTTGAACAATGTCATCGCTTCGGTAATAAAGAGAAAACCTTTCAGACATAGCCACAAACCTTTGTTTTGGCACAGAAAATTTTTCTATTTGTACCGAAAGTGATGAATGCATTTTTTTTTGTTTTTGTACTGAAAACAGTAATATGTAAATCCAGGGCAGCATCCTAAACTTGTTTTTGATGCATTGCTTGGATAACTTCTCTGGCTACGGATAGCTATACGTCATTCAGTCCTACCCAACAGTCATTCAGTGGCACAGATTCCACTTTTGTTTTGAAAGCAGAGGGACACTCACTTTCAATACGACCTTCATCCTCAGGCACTGACTTTTAAAAAACAAATCTTAGATTTTTTTCCACAGATTTATGATGATATCACCATAAATCACCTACTCACGAAGCCACACAGTAGGGGATGGTTTAGGGATCTATTCTCCCTTTGTTTAGGGATCTATTCTGTGAGTCAGGAGCCTTCAAGGGCCATCCAATCCAACCACATTCTGCCACGAAGACAACAAAACAATGCACTTGTCACTCAGAATGCAATCAATGCATGCACCGTACCTGGGAATTTGACGGCGTTCCAGATGACGACAGTGTTATCCACACTGCAAGAGGCCAGCCAAGCATCATGAGGAGACCACGCCACATCCATGACATCTATGGGAACACAAACCCTTTGAAAAACACATCTGCATGAGAACAACAATGAGAATCTATTCAATGGTCCTTCTGGGTTTCAAGAGCAATGTGCAGCCTACCCAACCACAACAACAATGAGCAAACCAGAGTGTCAATAACAAGAGAGATGTCAGCTTTAAATCCTGATAGATGTAGCCACTTATCGAACTAACCGAGCAGAAGATGGCAATGAGAAACAATGCAGACCAAACACAGCTGGTCTAATCCAGCCTGACAACAAGGAATGAACTTTTGATGTGACAGAGCCTCTCTTCCGAGATCAAATAATCCATGGTGGTTTCTGAACCCACTTACCCCCTGAATGACTTCGGAGAATCGAGACACATCGCCACTGTTCTACGTTTGCAAGTTTACTACTGGAGCCGAACACGGTGCTAGGGCCAATGTACCTGTCGAAGGCAGAAGAAAGGATTATTTTTTAAATATTGCAGCATTGATTTATTAAATACCAAGCTGGAGTCACAGCTTCAACAGGTAACAGTTGATGTCAGGATGCCTGTAACAGCCGTGAGAAGTGGCTGCCTCATTCACCCTGCCATGCTGGCAAAGCGGGGAGGTTGGGAAGAAGATGAGGAATGTAAAGTAGACAAGAGCATCTGCCGGTGTTTTGGGAATTTAAACTGTAGCTTGCGTTTTGGAAGTTGAAAGTAGGAACTGTGAGAATGACTTCTGACCAGAAGGGGTGGGGTGGGGAATAATGTCTTGATATATACCAGGGAGTGGGAGGGGAAAGTTACAACTGACTTTCTTGAGAGTCTGGCAAGAAAGGAACATAAAGGCTTTGTTTCCAGTGAACATCATTGCGAGTTTGTCTTAATCCCAAAGAGTTTCCAGGTTCTGACAGTCACCTCCCACCAGAAAATTCAGGGAGAAAATAACATATATACTTGAATAAAGGCTGTGTTTTTCAGCCCTTTTTTGGGCTGAAAAGCCTCCCTAGGATTATAAGGGGGTCAAGTCTCTGATGCTGCCCCACTGTTACAGCTGTTTTCAGTCATTGCTTGGAATATACGATATATTTCTCTCTCCTCTTCCCCTCCTTTTTCTTTTCCAAAGCTTCCCTCACTCTTTTCTCCTCCCAGGTTGGAGTTGCCCATTTTGGAAACTTCTCTATTTTTAAAAGAGAGAGAGAGAGGGAGAAGGAGAGAAGAAGGGAATGTTTTGAAAAGGAGGGGGAGAGAAGCCCTTGCAAGTCAGGAAGAAGAAAAAGATTGCATGGGTGGAAGGGGAAGAAAAAACAGAGAAAAACTCTTGCAAATCTGCAAGATCTATTATTATTATTATTATCATTATCATTAGTACTAGTAGTACTATTTAAAAATAGAGAAGGGAATGTTTTAAAAAGGAAAGGGATATATAGGGCTTGCAAATATTGCAGGGGAAAATGCACACACAAATATATAGACATGTCTATATAGATATAGATATATAGGGCTTGCAAATTTTGCAGGGGAAATGCACATACACACAAATATATATAGAGAGAGATGTTTAGATAAAAATAAACAGAAATATAGGGTTTGATAATATTGGAGGAGGGAAATGATAATATTGGAGGAGGGAAATATATAGAGAGAGGATTTGCAGGGGGAAATGCATATGTGAAATTAGTATATATAATTATAGATCTATATCTAGTTCTGCATTGTTTATATAGGCATTGAATGTTTGTCTGTTACTATGTTGGAAGCTGGCCTGAGTCTCCACGGAGAGATAAGGTGGGATACAAATGAAGTTGTTGTTGTTATTATTATTATTATTATTATTATTATTATTATTAAGTTATTGTTGATATCATATTGTTTTTGTTGACCCTACTTTTCCACTTACAGAGCTAGTTTACTGTTTTTATTAGAAATATAGTAAATATTCAAAAACATTTAGCCTACTGATGTCTCAATTAATGTAATTTTATTAGTATCTGTTTTTATTTCGAAATTTACCAGTAGCTGCTGCATTTCCCATCCTAGGCTTATACTCAAGACAATCAGTTTTCCCAGTTTTTTGTGGTAAAATTAGGTGCCTCGGCTTGTATTCAGGTTGGTTTATACTTGAGTATATACGGGTAACTCACAATAAAGTTATCCAATTAAGTCTTCAAAGCAAGGCAGATACATTATTATTTAGAGTCTCAAGGTGAGGAAAAAAGTGGAATACAAATAAAATAAATCAGTTTTCACTCTAGAGAAAAGAAACAGGAAAGAATTCAAAAGGAATTCAGGGTAAAGAGGAAGTTCTACTTTTTTTAGAGGGAAGGACACACTTACGCTGCTCTCTTCCAAACCATGATTAGCTTGTCATCTCCCCCAGAAGCCAGATATATGCCATTATTTGACCACCGTACACAGTTTACGCATGCTGGAATGAAACAGAGAAAAATTAAGACTCCCAAATGTCCCCCCAAGCAGTTTATGGATATGTCATTGTTTCAATTTTCAAAAAGGTATTTACAGCAACAAACAATAATAAGACTCAAATAAAAACAGAAATACATGGCAAACCAAAGCACCTTATATTTAATTTTTTCGAATATTTATATACTGAATTTATTTCAACGGGAAGGTCCCAAAATGATTTGACTTGGGTGAAAACCCCATAAGAATGTCTACTTTGGAAACCCAGCAAATGCGAAATGCTGTGTTGGCATCCAAGTGCTCAAATTAAAAAAAATGTTTTCACTACACTCCAGACTTGTGTGTGTGTATTTACATAGACATAATAATAGTGAAAAAATAAAAGGGAAATACAGTACGTATGTGAGTATGTGACAGCGGTGTCAGTGAAAATACGTATGTGTGTATGTGGCAGGGGTGTCCACTTACAACAGCAAGCTCCCATCTCCACAAACAGCTATATCTCCCACTATTCAGACAACACTAATGGCCCTCCCTCCAATGACATTGCAGGTTATAGTGAGTGCTGTAAACATGTAGCCCAAGCCCTGTCAATGTCCTCCACTTACTACTTACTTAGGCGATCCCTCGTTTTCCGAGGAGGATTGTCTTCCAGTATTCTTGTGGGTCCGTATGTGGCTGTGGAGCCCTATTCTTGATCTGCATCTTCTTCCGCAGTGAAGGCATTGGTTTCCAGGTGGAAGGCGGTCTCGGTCGGCTTGACGCGCCTTCCTCTTGGCACGCTTCTCCCTTTCACCCTCCATTCGTGCCTCTTCAAATTCTGCATCACTGGTGGTCACAGCTGACCTCCAGCTGGAGCGGTCAAGGGCCAGGGCTTCCCAGTTCTCAGTGTCTATCCAGGAGTTTTTAAGGTTGGCTTTGAGCCCATCTTTAAATCTCTTTTCCTGTCCTCCAACATTCCGTTTTCGTTCTTGAGTTTGGAGTAGAGCAACTGCTTTGGGAGACGGTGGTCGGGCATCCGGACAACGTGGCCGGTCCAGCAGAGTTGATGGTGGAGGACCATTGCTTCAATGCTGGTGGTCTTTGCTTCTTCCAGCACGCTGACGTTTGTCCGCCTGTCTTCCCAAGAGATTTGCAGGATTTTCCGGAGGCAGCGCTGATGGAATTGTTCCAGGATGGAATGTCCTCCACAAACACTATACTGCCCACCACCCAAGTGAAAGCTTTCATTTCATCATAGATTTCATTTGTTTCCTCCACCACAGGCATCCCAGTGTTTCTTACTCTCTCCATTGGTGTGGAATTTGCATAACCCCGCCTACTGCCTTTCCCTTCAAACTTTCCTATTCCTTTCTATAGCACACATCAAACAGAGGAATTGATCAGCAACTGAACATTCTAGAGAGGTTTGGGGAGAATTCACCATGATTTATAGGAGCTGTAGGTACCTACTTGGCACACAGAACCCCCATGACCAACAAAAAATACTGGAGGTCTTTGTAGGGAGTTATAAGAGTTGTAGTTCACATACATCCAGTGTACACTATGAACCCAAACAATGATGGATCTGGACCAAACTTAGCATGCATACCCAATATGTCCAAATGTGAATACTGGCGGGTTTTGAGGGGAACTGGCCTGGACATTTTGGAGTTGTAGGTACTGGGACTTATAGTTCACCTGCAATCAATGAGCACTCTGAACTACACCAAAGATGGAATTGGACCAAACTAGGTACACAGAGCCCCCATGACCAGCAAAAAATACTGGAGGTATTTGGGGAAAATTCACCTTGATTTGGAGTTGTAGTTCACCTACATCCAAAGAGCACTGTGAACCCAAACACTGATGGAGCTGGACCAAACTTGGCAAACATACCTGATATGCTGAAATTTAATTACTGGGGGGAGGGGGGGACTGACCTTCCTTTCTGGGAATTGTAGTTCACTCAGAACCAGAGAAACTGTGATCTCCACCGATCATGGACCTGGGCTAAACTTGGCACACAGAACTCCCATGACTAACTCAACCTACTGGAGGTACTTGAGGGGACAGACTCATCATAGTGGGAGTTGTAGTTTACCCTACAGCCAGAGAGCACACTGAACCCCACCCATGATGCATCTAGAGCAAACTTGCCCAACATAACAAACTTTAAGTACTCGTGGAGTTTCTCAGGGTTAACCTGGCATAATGTCAGTTGTACTTTATGCATTTTGTACAATTAAAAATTGACTTTTTCAAATAACCCGGGCAACACCAGGTACCCAAGCTAGTATATTACGAAGAGGTAATTCTTTGAGTGGCTTCAAACTCTTTAAATAGCCTTCCTGCTCTACAGGCACTTTATTTATTATTTACTTACAGTATTTATATACCACCTTTCTCACCCCTGGGGGGACCCAAAGCGGTTTACACATAAATAATGGCAAAATTCAATGCCTTACATGGGGCACCGATACGATGCCAATACAAACAATTACAATAGTAAAACCACAATTAAACATAAATCATAATTAAAACAATACATCAACAAGCATTAAAACAATAAAACAGTCTCTTCAGTTGAATTGCCGTTCCAGTCAATGTCCCTCTAAAATGCTACATACATCTACTGTCCGAAGGCCTGGTCCCAGAACCATGATTTTAATTTTTTCTAAAAGCCAGGAGGGAGGGAGCAGATCTTACCTCATTTGGGCGTGTGTTCCACAGGCGGGGTTTTGTTTTGGTTTTTTTTTTTTGTCATGTCAGGAGCGACTGGAAAAACTGCAAGTTGCTTCTGGTGTGAGAGAATTGGCCGTCTGCAAGGACGTTGCCCAGGGGATGCCTGGATGATTTGATGTTTCAATCATCCTTGTGGGAGGCTTCTCTCATGTCCCCGCATGAGGAGCTGGAGCTGATAGAGGGAGCTCATCCGCCTCTCCCCGGATTCGAACCTGCGACCTGTTGGTCTTCAGTCCTGCCGGCACAGAGGTTTAACCCGCTGCACCACCGGGGGCTTCATATAGGCGGGGTGCCACAGCCGAGAAGGCCTTGTCTCTCGTCCCCCCATTTGTGCTGTTGATGAGAGCGAGAGCAGGGTCTCCCCGGGATGATCTTACTTTATGAGGTGGGACGTAGGGGTGGATGCGTTCAGACAAGTTAGCTTCTACAAAGTTGAAGTGCCTGATCTCATCTGTAACAAGAGATGAGATTCCTACCTTGAAAAAGCCTTGGCTCAGAAAATAATACATACTAAAGAGAGCCCTCCTAGCAAGTGATACAGGCTTTGATGAGGAAGTCAGGAAACAAGTGGCCTGCCTCCACGAAACAGTGCAAGAAGAAGGAGAACTCTTGGGAGGGTGGGAGGATTAACACCATGGGAGTGTTTTTAAAAATCTATTAAGACAGCGCCCATCTTTGGCGATAATCTATAGCAGTGACGCAAGTATTTAAACATGAAATAATATATACCACATATACTCGAGAATAAGCCAAGTTTATCAGCCCTTTTTTGAGGCTGAAAAAGCGCCCCTCAGCTTATACTCGAGTCAAAGTTATTTATTATTTTATTGGGTTATTATTATTATTTTATTACATGTATTATTTTACTCTATTATTATTATTACATTTACATTACTTAACTCTATTATTATTATTTTATTACAATTATTGTTTACTCTATTTATTATTATTTCATTTATTATTTTGCTCTTATTATTGTTGTTATTATTACATGTATTATTTTACTCTATTTATTAGTATTTCATTTATTATTTTGCTCTTATTATTGTTGTTATTATTACATGTATTATTTTACTCTATTTATTATTATTACATGTATTATTTTACTTTATTATTGTTATTAATACATTATTTTACTGTATTTATTATTGTTATTATTACACTTATTATTTTATTGTGTTATTACTGCTATTATTACAGTTACATTATTTTACTCTATTACTGTTATTTTATTACATTTATTATTTTAAATTGAAGAAGGTTAGAATAATGGTTTAATCAGAGTTGGACAGTTTTTTCCTAAATTACAGTTTTATATAAATATTCAAAAACATTTAACCTACTGATGCCTCAATTAATGCAATTTTTTTGGTATCTATTTTTATTTTGAAATTTACCAGTAGCTGCTGCATTTTCCACCCTCAGATTATACTCGAGTCGATACATTTTCCCAGCTTTTTGTGATAAAATTAGATACCTCGGCTTATATTCGAGTGTATACAGTACACTTACCGTATATACTCAACTATAAGCCGAGTATTTCAGCCCCTTTTTTAGGCTGTAAAACCTCCCCTCCGCTTATATTCGGGTGAGGTCCTGGTGGGGAATATGTGAGGCTGAAAGAAGAGCCCTTATCCCATGCCTTCCCGTCAGGCTCCTCACTTCTTCTCATCCCTCGCTCCTTACGTGCCTTTCCCTCCTCCGAGCCCAGAGGAGAGCGAGGCTGTGGACAAACCCCACGGCCATGGCTCCCTCCTCCACCGAGGAAGGTGTGCATGGAATGAGGGGGAGGAGGGAAAGGCGAGCCTTTCTTGGTGGCAGCAGTGACACAGAGGGAGCCCCGGCAGCAGGGTTTTCCGCAGCCTTGCTCTCCTCCTCACTTGGCCCATGCACAGCTGTGGTGGTGGGGGCAGCGGCGAGAGGAGGCAGAAAAGCCACGCACGTGGCGAGGGAGGAGGGAAAAGCACGCACCTTTTCTTCCTCCTCCCCCTTCTCCCCCGTCCCATGCATGCCTTCCTAGACGGTGGAGGCAGGAAAGGCGTGCGAGGGAGGAGGGAAAGGAGTGCACCTTTCCCTCCTCCCTCAGTCTGTGCGTGCCTTTCCCCCCCGCTGCCAAGGAAGGCACGCACAGGGCGAGAGAGGAGGGGGAGAGGCGCATGCCTTTTCCTCCTCCCTCGCCCTGTGCTTTTCTGCCTCCTCCCGCCGCTGCCCCCACCACCACAGCTGCGCATGGGCTGAGGGGGAAGGAGAGCAAGGCCATGGAAAACCCTGAGGAGGCTCCTTCCTCCTCTGCCACTGCCGCTGAGGAAAGGTTGTGCAGTGCAAGGGGGGAGGAGGGAAAGACAGAAGGGGGTTGGACTAGATGGCCCTTGGTATCTCTTCCAACCCTCTTTATTAGTGTTGTTATCATTATTATTATTATACTATTGTTATTATTATTATTATTATTATTATTATTATTATTGAGGCTGAGTGGCCATCTGTCAGGCTTGATTTGATTGTGCTTTTGCTGCATGTAGGCAGAAGGGGGTTGGACTAGATGGCCCTTGGGGTCTCTTCCAACTATTCATTAGTATTAATGTTATTGTTGTTGTTGTTATTATTATTATTGAGAATGGGTGGCCATCTGTCAGGGGTGCTTTGATTGTGCTTTTGCTGCATGAAGGCAGAAGGTCCTTGGACTAGATGGACTTTAGAATTCCCTTCCAACTCTATTATTGTTATTATTATTAATAATAATAATAATACTATTAAGGATAGATTGCCATCTGTCGCAGGTGCTTTGATTGTGTTTTCCCTGCATAAAGGCAGAATGAAGGGGGTTGAACTAGATGGCCTTTAGAGATCCCTTCCAATTCTAGGATTCTATGAAAGGAGTCTTAGTCAACCACGAGCGCAACACGCGCCAACAGTGTGATGCCGTAGCTGAAAAGGCCAGTGCCGTTCTAGGCTGCATCAATAGGAGAAGCCTGACAGAAAGTGAAAGGGAACTGATATGACACTATACCTTGGCTGTCTTTTTAATTTCTTTTAATAATTATTTAATGCAACTGTTTATTTTAACTTATTGTACAACGTTTAGTATAGCCTTTTGTTTAGATTTTTTATGGTTTTATGTTTATATAGTTATTGAATGTTTGCCTGTTATTATGTTGGAAGCCGTCCTGAGTCCCCATGGGGAGATAGGGTGAGATACAAATGAAGTTTTATTATTATTATAAAATTATTGTTGATACCATATTGTTGTTTTGTTGACCCTCCTTTTCCACTTACAGAGCTAGTTTACCGTTTTTCTTTGAAATGTGGTGAATATTCAAAAACATTTCACCTACTGATGCCTCAATTAATGTAATTTATTGGTATCTATCTTTATTTTTGAAATTGACCAGTAGCGGCTGCATTTCCCACCCTCGGCTTATACTCAAGTCAATAAGATTTCCCAGTTTTTTGTGGTAAAATTAGGTGCCTCGACTTATATTCGGGTCAGCTTATACTCGAGTATATACAGTATTTCAATCAGTAACAATCAAAGCAGCTCTCTGGCATCAGAATACACTACATCTTGTGGACTTCAGAAAAGGATTTGTGAAAGATCCGCACCACCATACCTAAATGATTGTCCATCTGACAAAGCATCTTGGGCACATTCTCATTCTTTTCGTCTTCCTCTCGGACAACAGGAGCCATGTTCCATATCACAACTTTCCCAGAATCCTCTCCTAAAAACACAAGGAAATCAACACATCATCAAGAAATTGACAAAAGCACTTGCATATCCTCAGAAAATGCTACATCTTTGATTAATGTCAAATGCAATATTAAAACTTGTTGGATTAATAGGCTGGGATTAAAATAAAATTGAATGTTTTTACAAACAGAGCTAATGCCTTATTCAAATAATAATAATAATAATAATAATAATAATAATAATGTTTCACCAAGGTGTATGGCTGAGCTAAGCTTCCTGCTTTCCACTGCCTTTCCAACAGACCCATAGACTTAGGAAAATAGACTCAAGCAAACAAAACAACTTACAGGCTGAAACATAAGCAAGGAATTGTGCATGCAGAGGAAATTCTAAAAAACTTCAAAGAAAATTATTTTTTCCAAAATTGGAGTGCACCTGACATTCAATGGTGCCTTTGGTGAAATATAATAATAATAATAATAATAATAATAATAATAATAATAATAATAATGTAAGATACACTGGGCTAAAGACTGTATTGCTGTGGTCAAACTTCCAAATATAACTGGACATAATAATTAAAAAGAATAAACTTTATTTATACTCCGCCACTATCTCCCCAAAGGAACTCGGGGCAGTTCACAAAAGCACTCCAGAGTGCTGCATATAAAATAAACAATACATAAGCATAATAACAATAACATAAAATTATAGCAAGAACCACAATGTACACAAATAACACCACATAATAATAAAATAGCTAAAATGCATAAAACACAAAAGTACCTGCAAGATAATGAACTAAAGTGCTGGAGTGAATAAACAGTCCTCACATGCACCCTTTTCAGTCTATTCAAGGTCAAAGGCCAGTTCAAAAAGTCATTTTTAGGCTAGATCGAAAGTTTTGGAGAGTGGGGGCTAACCTCATCTCTCTAGGGAGGGCATTCCAGAGCCAGGGAGCCACCACGGATAAGGCCCCCTCTCTCTGTTACAGTATATGATGTATATGACTAAGTTTCTGTAAGGATTGTCTCCTGTGTGTGTGTTGAGGAAAAGCACCTGGATAATTGAAGCAACCAAGCTTGAACCACTCCCTGAATAGAGTAGAACATGAGGAGTTTTTCTAATGGATTTTGGGACTTACTGAACCACTTGCTTCAAGACTTGTCTCCTTGCACCATTGAGGAAGAAGAAGATGCATGGATTTAATGCATAGGACTTTGTGTGAGTTTTATTTCTGCAAATGGACTGAGTTATTTTCAAAGCTGGATATTTTTTATGAAGCTGCTTATTTGACTCTGTTACTTAAGAGTAAATTTTGTTTTCCCCATTTACTTGGCTCATATTTACTCTTTGTGGATGAACAAAGGGTTGGGAAGTCTGGACAGGACTGCACGATTTCTGGGTTAGCTTTCGTATAAACCGCAACACTCTCGTCCCCACCAACCTTACTTGAGACAGTGGTGGGACCGAGAGAAGGGCCTCCCTGGCAGATCTTAGAGCCCACGCCAGTTCATAGAAGATGAGGTCTCGAAGATAGGTTGGACCTGAAGCATATAGGGCTTTATAGGTGATAACCTGCACTTTGAATTGGGCCTAGATCATTGTCAGCAGCCAGTGGAGCTGCTTTAATAGGGGCATGGTGTGCTCCCTATAGATAGTCTCAGTTAGTAATCTGGCTGTCGACCTTACACTAACTGCAGTTCCCGAGCTGTCTTCAAAGGAAGCCTCACAAAGAGTGAAATTACAGTAGATCGTTCTGGATGTAACTAAGGTGTGGACCACTGTGGTCAAGTCAGGCTTTTCGAGGTACGGTCGCAGCTGTTTTAACTGTGCGAAAGCCCTCCTGGCCATCACCAACACCTGAGCATCAGCGCTGAGTCCAGGAGAACTCCCCAAGACTGCAGACCTGTGTCCTCAGGGGGAGTGCAACCCCGCTGAGAACAGGTTGCACCCTGGACCCTGATCGTCCCCAAGACTGACCAGGACCTCTGTCTTGTCTGGTTTATTCTCTGTTTGCTGGCCCTCATCCAGTCAATCACAGCTGCCAGGCACTGATCCAAGATCTGGGGAGCTTTCTTGGAAGGGGTGGAAAGGAGTACTAGAGTTGTGTGTCATCTGTGTAGAGATGGCACCTAACTCCAAAATTCCAGATGAGCTCACCCACTGGTTTCATGTAGATGTTGAAAAGCATGGGGGAAAGAATAGAACCTTGCAGGACCCCACAGGTGAAAGGCCAGGGATCCAAGCAGGTGTTCCCCAAAATCACCATCGGGGAACGGTCCTCCAGGAAGGAGCAGAGCCACTGCAGCGCAGTGCCTCCATGACCCATTCTGGAGAGCTGACCCAGAAGGATATCATGGTCGACAGTATCAAAAACTGCTAAGATGTCCAAAAGAACCAGCAGGGACACACTCCCCCATCTAGCTCCCTGCATAGGTCATTCACCAAGGTGACCAAAGCTGTCTCCATTTCTTGACCAGGCCTAAAGCCAGATTGCGTGGTTAAATGCATACATTTACATTTGTGGTTTTGACTTTTACAGATTTTATTATTCATGGATTCAATTAAAAATAGTCTCTCCAGAAATCTCTTAAGCTCTCCAGTGCAGCTCTATGGTCAAATTCCTCCAGTCATGCTGGAGGACTTAAGAGATTTTTAGACAGAACACTTTTGTGGGAATCTTTAGGTCCTCTAATGCAATTCTATGGTCCACTTCCAGTGACAGCTGATTAGAGTTGTGCTCGAAGGTCTAGAAATTATACACACACACACACACACACTGTATATTCTCTCAGGCAAAAATCGTAATTTCTTTATTTGTGCTTTCTCCTTTTCATGGGGGTCTGTTGCTCTTTGTTGTTGTTCATTCGTTCAGTCGTTTCTGACTCTTTGTGACCACGGACCAGTCCACGCCAGAGCTCCCTGTCAGTCGTCACCACCCCCAGCTCCTTCAAGGTCAATCCAGTCACTTCAAGGATAGCATCCATCCATCTTGCCCTTGGTTGGCCCCTCTTCCTTTTTCCTTCCATTTTCCCCAGCTCTGTTGCTCTAACCCCAGTGAATGTGGAGGGATGAACATAATCTGATATGTCACAATAATGTGAATGTATATTATTGTTGTTTTAAATTGTGTATTTTATGATGTTTTATACTTATTATCGATGTATATGGATTCTTGTATACATGTTTTTAATATGTTGTAAGCTGCTTGGGTCCCATGAGGGAGAAAAGAGGGATGCAATTTTTAAAAATATATATATTATTATTATTATTATTATTATATATGAGAACAAATAAAAAGTTTATTTAAAATAGTAATAATAAAAATGATAATAACGAGGAAGAGGGCTGGAAGCAAGAAACATGTAACACACAGCTCAGAATCCAGAACAAAAAAAAATGTTTGTGAGTTAACATACTTTAATTAAGGAACAGTGTGGTTCTGCCAATGTAAACAAAGGAAGGAAAGGCAAGAAATTACAGGACATTCTGAATCACACCTTTTAACTTATGCTGAGCAATGGTGCATTTATTATACCTAAATACAATGGTCTTAACTGTGACTGGAAGTTTGTTGTCAAATTTACACAGACGACACCGAATTCTATTACTCCTTTCCACCTAAAGCCAAAGATGCCATTCTGGTCCTGAACCGGTGTCTGTCATCAGCGATGGACTGGATGAGGGCCAACAAGCTGAAACCGAACTCTGACAAGACAGAGATCCTCTTGGTCAGTCGGAAGGCAGCTCAGGGTGTGGAGTTTTAACCTGTGCTGGACGCAGTCACACTCCCCCTGAAGACACAAGTTCGCAGACTAGGGGCGATCCTGGACTCATCGCTGACCCTGGAACCCCAGGTGTCGGCAGTGGCCAGGAGTGTTTTTGCGCAATTAAAACTTGTGTGCCAGCTGCGCCCATACCTTGAGACGCCAAATCTGGCCATGGTAGTCCATGCTTTAGTTACATCCCAATAGGACTACTGCAACGCTCTCTACATGCCTTTGAAGATAGTTTGGAAGCTTCAATTACTCCAAAGATCATCAGGGAGCGAATAACTCCTCTGTTACGGCAGTTCCCCTGCCTGCTGGTCTGTTTCCGGGCTAAATACAAAGGGCCCTAAATGGTTTGGGCCCTTACTTACTTAGGGTACTTACTTAGGCAATCCTTCGTAGTCCGAGGATGATGGCCCTCCAAGTGTAGTGACTTGGCGGTAGATATGTAGGTGGCCTCTTCTTGATCCGCATGTTCTTCTGCAATGAGAATATTGGTTTCCAGGTGGAAGGTGGTCGCGGTCAGGATTGACTTGACGTGCCTTCCTCTTGGCATGCTTCTCCCTTTCGCCCTCCCTTCATGCCTCTTCATATTCCACAGCACTGCTGGTGATAGCTGACCTCCAGTTAGAGCACTCAAGGGCCTGGGCTTCCCAGTTCTCAGTGTCTGTGCCACAGTTTTTAAGGTTGACTTTAAGCCCATCTTTAAATCTCTTTTCCTGTCCACCAACATTACATTTTCCGTTCTTGAGTTACGAGTATAGTAACTACTTTGGGAGATGGTGATCGGGCATTCGGACAACGTGGCCAGTCCAGTGGAATTGATGGCGGAGGAGCATTGCTTCAATGCTGGTGGTCTTTGCTTCTTCCAGCACGCTGACATTTGTCCGCCTGTTTTCCCAAGAGATTTGCAAGATTTTTCAGAGGCAACGCTGATAGAATCGTTCCAGGAGTTGAGTGTGACATCTGTAAACAGTCCACGTTTCGCAGGGTTGGGAGGACAATAGCTTTATAAACAAGCCCCTTAGTATCTCTATGGATGTCCCAATCCTCAAACACTCTCTGCTTCATTCGGAAAAATGCTGCACTTGCAGATGTCAGGCAGTGTTGTATTTCAGCGTCAATGTTGACTTTTGTGGAGAGGTGGCTGCCAAGATAGCGGAAATGGTCACCATTTTCTAATGATACACCATTATACTGTATTTCTGGCATTGCAGAGGAACTGGCTGGTGCCTGCCAGAACAGCACTTTGGTTTTCTCAATGTTCAATGAGAGGCCAAGCTCCTCATATACTTCTGCAAATGTGTTTAGAGTGGCTTTTAGGTTTTCTTCTGAATGGGCAAAGACTATATTATCATCAGCATACTGGAGTTCTATAACAGATGTTGTTGTGACCTTGGTTTTGGCTTTCAGACTGCTGAGTTTAAATAGTTTGCCATCTGTCCATCCACCAACAAGATGAAGTATCATAGCAATGAAGATGGAAAATAAAGTTGGGGCAATAACACATCCCTGTTTGAAACCTGATTCCACCTTAAATGTGTCATTTTGGGAGCCACTGCTGTCCAAGACTGTTGTCATCATGGAGGAGCCCAGACTATCTGAGAACCTGCATCCCGACTTACAATCCCACTTGGCCACTGTGATCATCTGAGGGGGCCCTCCTCTCGATCCCACCCCTGTCCCAAGCAGGCAGGCAAAAGAGAGAGAGAGGGAGGGCCTTCTCTGTGGTTGCTCTGGCTCTCTGGAGCACCCTCCTTATTGAAGTGCCTCACCTCCATTAAAAAATATCTTAAAACTCACCTGTGCTTCATAGTCTATGGAGAAGCAGATGAATATTGAAAAAACCTGCCCCCTCCTGACTGCTTTCTTACTAAGGGATAACACACTGTAAGGCCACTTTATACCTATATGTTATATCTCTAGATTCCCTCTGAACAGTACTTGGTTATTGCACTTTAGGAGACCCAAATGACACCTCTCCCATAGAGCTTATTTTATATGTGCTTTTAATTATGATCTGTATTTTATCGTTTTATTATGTTATGATTTTATGTATATTTGCTTCTGTTTTTATGATTGTATACAGCATAGAATATTTGCCTTTTGTATGTGTAAACTGTCCTGAGTCCCTTTGGGGAGAGAGGGTGGGTTAGAAATAAAAAAACTTATTATTATTATTATTATTATTATTATTATTATTATTGTGGTGCAATTTCATAATATTTCATAGTTCTTTTTCCAGCTCCGTATCCTCTCTGAAGACAGCCTTCATATTTATTTATTTAGCAGCATTTCAGCCAAAGCTTCTGATATAGAATTCAATGTATTATTTAAACTCAAATCAAGAACCTTTTAAAATTCAGTTATCATGAAACATTATTTGATTGAAACTGGCAGATTGATCAATTGTGAGACAAGTGGCATTTGAAGCTAGCCCACCGGAGCAATCAAATGGGGGAAGCCCACATCTTTAGTTCTGTAGTTGAAAATCTGCTCTGATGTTTCATTTTCAGTAAACAATGATCAACTTAGGCCCCATCTACACTACCATGTAACACGATTTTTGTTCCTGGCTTATAAATGTCATTTCCCAATTGGTTATCTCATAAAAACATGCAAAAGGTTTATTAAATAGTGCAATCCAGTTTCTGAATCCAGGTTATCTGCTCTAAAAAACTGGATGATATGGCAGTGTAGATCCAGCCGTAGAGCTTTCCAAAGAGAGATATCTACAAACATACCTTGCCCTCCCGTTGCAAACTTGGTCCCATCTGGGTGAATGTCAACTGAGAATATTGGCTTGCCTGAACAAAAACAGGAAGAGGAAAAGTATATTGTGAGCCTGGATTATAATGAAACAAAAAACACATCAAGTTACAGGTAAATAAACTAATAAACCAACTGCTGCTTTGCCAATCCAATCCAAAACAAGAGCAAGTTGGCATGGCACAGCGGAAGACAGCTGGTTTCATTTTTCCTGGAAACAGCAACAACTGTAAAGCATTACGTTGGCCATGTCATGATTTTGAATGTTATCTTCAAACAAAACCTTATAACATGTATTACACTTTCCCTGTCAATGAGTTGGAAGATGATACAATCGAGCTTCATAGTACCAAACGTCTGATACTAATACTCTCTGTATGAATCACCGATTACTAAAAATATTTACAGAAGTTAACAAACTGATAAAACCAAAGAGGTTAAAATGCATGCTACCGGGTATGAGAACATATGACAACCAGTCTTGACATCGGATGACAAGAGAATGTGTCTGCTGTGTTACAGAGGTCATTTGGAACTTAGAAAATTTTAGATGATGTGTATATTGTAATTGTACTTGTGTAGAATAATAATGATAACACTTTATTTATATTATGCCCTATCTCCCCAGAGGGACTCAGGGCAGATCACAGTACACATATACGGACAGAGACAGACAGAACAGAAAGGAGTTATGTTGTGTCGACGTCCAACTTTTTGGTGCCTTGGAGGTTATGCTCGAATCCAGCCACAGGGAGGTGCTGTCGCTTCATCCTCTATGACAAAGAAGCATCAGGACTTCCTCCTTCCTTTTGGTCACCGGGCTTTTTAAGACCATATTCTTTATGGTGTAGTAAAATACCTCCTCTGCTTGCTTTAGCAGTAGCTAATTTCTCTACTTACAGCTCAAACTGTTTTCAACTGCTCAGATTAACAGTATGCTGGGCTGACAGTCGGGAGCTCACGTTGACACGAGACTTCGAACTGGCAACTTTTTGGTTGGTAAATCTTATTATTGCTGGTGATTTACCAGCTGCGCTAAAGCCCTGCCCATCAAATATATGGATGTAACAACTATAATAAACATGCTTTGATTGTGCCTTCCTGCACAGCAGAAAGGGGTTGGACTAGATGGCTTTTTGAGGTCTCCTACAATGCTATGGGCTCCTCCCAGAAAGCATCTTTTCCTGCCTCCTGCAAAGAAATGCAAACAGCTCTTTCCTACACATTCCTTTTTTTCTGATTTTTTCAAAGTTGAAAACAAGCTGGAATCTTTTTTCCAGCTATAGTAGTATTTTAGGACATGGTAATCACACCAGTTATCTATATTTTTTCCACAAGGAAAAAGGAGGTCTGTCTGCTACTGAAACTGAATGCTCTACCTCCTGGGGACATGCCTTTCACGCCTCCGGGTGTCTGACTTGTGCAAAATGATCTCAATTCTTGCCCAGGAGAAACACATCCATGGACACTGAAAAGACAGCCAGAATTCTCACGGCAACATCAAATACTCCAGAAGTCACTTGAGACATTTGTTTCCACCTCCGTCGGCTTGGATGGGGCTCAAATCACCAATTGCATAGAGCGTATTATCTATGTCATACACACTGACAACCACTTGTCTATAATTAGAGATTACGGCAACCAAACCGCAGACACTTTCATTCTCCATGAAACAAGATATTGCCAGAATTCCAGTCTCAGTGTTTGCATTCATCTACCTGTCGGTATGTAGCTGTAGTATTTGTAGAATTCTACTTGCTGTCAACCATTGTATACGGATATATACCTGTCTGCATCTTACGTCTTGGGACACACATATTGTAATTTGTTTGCCTGCAGATTCTGCACCATGGATTCCACCATCCACAGCTTGAAAATATTCCAAAAAAACCTGAAACAAAACCCAACTCTTTTCAAAACACCCGGAAAACCAAATCTCTCCCATTACAAGCTTCAGATTCCTCAGCAAAATATGCTATTTTGCTGAGGAAACATGCTGACTTTTTGGAAGAGAATCGAAGCGACACATATCAGTCTTGGGCAATTTAGCACCTTTTACCAATATCTCTCCATAAACTCTTACCCAATAGTCTTTTTGTGTGTGTGTCAGGAGTGACTTGAGAAACTGCAAGTTGCTTCTGGTGTGAGAGTATTGGCCGTCTGCAAGGATGTTGCTTAGCGGACACCTGGATGTTTTGATGTTTTACCATCCTTGTGGGAGGCTTCTCTCATGTCCCCACATGGGGAGCTGGAGCTGACAGAGGGAGCTTATTCGCATTCTCGCCGGATTTGAACCTGCGACCTGTCGGTCTTCAGTCCTGCCGGCACAAGGGTTTAACCCACTGTGCCACTGGCGGCTCCACCCACTAGTCTGATATGACTCAAAGGTTACAGATCTCTTGCTCCCATTTTGAAATGTGAAGCACATCCACTGTATTTTTAGAGGAGCAAATGGAAAACGTGTTCAATGTATTATTGAAGGTTTTCATGACTGGAATCACTGGGTTGCTGTGAGTTTTCCGGTCTGTATGGCCATGTTCCAGAAGCATTTTCTCCTAACATTTCGCCAACATCTATGGCAGGCATCCCCAAAGGTTATGAGGTCTGTTGGAAACTAGGCAAGTGGGGTTTATCTACCTGTGGAAATATGTCCAGGGTGGGAGAAAGAACTCTTGTCTGCTTGAGGCAAGTGTGAATGTTGCAATTGGCCAGCTTGATTAGCACTGAATAACCTTGCAGCTTCAAAGCCTGGCTGCTTCCTGCCTGGGGGAATTCTTTGGTGGGAGGTGTTAGCTGGAAGCAGCCAGGCTTTGAAGTTGTAAGGCTACTTCTACAATGGCATGAACCAGAAGAGAGCCAAATCCTGATTATTACATTTAGGAGCACCTTTCCAACCTTGCGCCATCCACTTGCTGACCTACTAATCCTATCATACCTCAGTATTAGAGATGCTCTGGATTGCTCTACAATGATCTCTGGAAAGCCACAAGTCCTGTCTTTCCCTCCTTTCCTGGCAATATGGCTTTTCCTTGCTTTGTCCCCGTCCATTCTGCCATGCACCATAAGTCAGCATCTCCCCACATATGCCTCTTTATCACCTCCCTCAGCTCGCTGATGGAACCGACTGCCACTTTTCAACATATGTGCCTTCTGCACAAAAAATGACAAATGAAAAGGGCAATGAAGGATGACATGCCTCGTTCCCATTAACAGCAGAAGATCGGAAACCAGCACATCCTCCAAACCACCCTTCTGGCAGGGAATTATTCACTGCTGTGACAATACAGGGCTTGCATACAATTCTTCAACAGTGATGAGGCGACTGGCAAACACCAAAAAAAGAATTGACTTCCATAGTGTAACACTGCCTTTTTTGTTTTAATGGCCATGGTTTGTCAGTGGGTTTTACAGAAAAGAAAGCAAAAGTTACAGTGACAAGTGTGACTGATCTATAGTAATAATGCAACTAGTGTGATTTAGTGTTGGACTGAGATGCCAGGGGAAGAGCCAAGATGACTAAACTGAGACTGCCAAGGCTTGGAAATAATATGAGAAAATCATGCTTGGCAAGGTTGACTGTCCTATCACTGTACGTCAATTTTTTTATTTACGGTCAGCGACAAGTATAGAATCCCACTTTACAATCTTCCACATCAGTACAGTGTAAAGCAGTGGTTCTCAACTTGTGGGTCCCCAGGTGTTTTGGCCTACAACTCCCAGAAATCCCAGCCAGTTTACCAGCTGTTAGAATTTCTGGGAGTTGAAGCCCAAAACATCTGAGGACTCACAGGTTTACAACTGATGTAAAGCATCTTGTATGTATTTTTAAAAAATAGGTAACAAACACATTGCACCTAATCCAACTCTTTGTGAGGAACACAAGAAGAAGCATCAGCTTTGGTACACCATTCCCCGCCTTCCCTGAGCTATGGTTGCACATAAGATTTCCTGATGATTCACCTTCCTCTGACTTGACCCAGATCCTGAAATCAAAAGGAGAGCAGTTCAAATGAAACTGATCCTCATGAACTTGGGGTGAGGGTGAAGGGTGTTGTGTTTCCTTTTATTCCCATTCAACAAGTCAGTGCAACAGCCTTACTTCCGCTGACTTGTGTTGATTTTCATTGCCCTCTGCATCCATAGTCCACCTCTGTCACAAGCAAAATACGCAAGGACACCCAATGAGCAAATATCAGTAAGGCAAAAAGTATCCTTGAAAGAGGCAGATAATAGGAAAAGGTGGCCACGGCATAAAACAATTGAAAGGTGGTAACTGATAAAGGTCTGACTTATTCCAACCCTTGTTACATTGATAGGGTTTGTTTACCTAAATTGGCAAGCGATCCTGTGTGATCCAACCTACCATCTGTTTTGTGGCCAATGGAAATATTACAAATCGAGAGTTTACAATCAACTGTCTTTGCCGCCTGTCTAAAAAGTAGCCAGGATGGAGCTGAATGGGATCATCCTAGGGAAGGGCCTGCAACTAGTAAAGTCACCGATTAGATGACCTGCATGTTTTGTGGGCCATGTTTATTGATAGTATATGAAATCCCTAGTATCAGAAGACTAGACTACTCTCAGCCCACAAATATCCAGCGTCCCCTTTCGTCTGCTTGCCTCCTCGCCTCCCATCTTACACAGCTGCAAACACAAGGTCACCAATACAAGGAGGTGACTCTCACACTTATAGTGGATGCGAATGTAAGAACATCCCCAGAGGTTTCTATGGGAGTGCTAGTAAATGGTGTGAGGTTAATCTCTCCCTAGTCCTCTTAACAATGCTCTATTACTCTGCCACAAAATGCTTTGCATGTCGACTCCAAGAGAGAACACTTTTCGAGGCCAAAAGAGAGTACAGACAACCCTCCTCATCTGAAGGCTGAACTTAACATATTTGATTCATAGGTTCTCTCCAGGAATTTCAAGGTCCTTCAGTGCATAGAGCCTTGAGATTCCTAGCGAGAACATTTCTAAAGGTATTTCTTGATTTTTTTAAAATTTGCATTTTGCTTTTTTGCAGAGGTGCTGCACCCCATCAAATCCACAAATGCAGAGTCAAGTGTATTATACAGAGATGAAGAAGCACTTAAGAAAATGGCCCTGAGTCTTTCCCAGACTACAATCTTCAGACAATTCAGAAATGTTCTTCAGTATAAACAACTCTGGCAACCGCTTTCCAAGCCCATGAGCAACACATCTTTTAATACAGGTTTAACTCTACAGCGGACAACAAAACACTAAGGAAGAGCCATGTCAGATTCAACCAAAGGTCCACCCAGCTGATGCCTCTCGGAAAGCCATGCTCAGGGCATTCGGATGCCAAACCAGAAGTGCTATCTATCCGAAGCAACACAGACCCTTTCCATACCCTAAAGAAAACTTGGCACACAGCCCCATCTTTTTGAGGAAGAACAGTTGAAGCTGTATTAAAATTTATCCCAGGAGTGGGTGATTTGTGAATATCGGTTAAGACAAATGAAAGCACACCACCGCTTACTACAAGACGTTTCTATCACACGAGTTAAGAGTCAAAGGGCTGACTGAAAATGAAGGTATCTGAAAGAACATAGAAAGGGCACCAAGCAAACCTCTTGTGGCAGAGAGTTGCACAGGCTGGGAGCAGCCACTGACCAATCTTCAAGCTCACACGAGATCCAGTCCTTCCAACAGTCCGGACCCAAGCTGTGCAGAACTTTAAATGTCAGAACCAGCACTTTGGATTCTACCAGGAAACAGGATTTTAGCCAGCAAAGTCATTGCAAAAAAGTGTTATATGTTACAAGCTCCAGCACGTGTTAAAAAGGGTGAAAGATTCTGGATGCTGCACAAGTAGGAAGGGAATTTGAACATGTCACACTGGCGCCCTTCATTTTCCTCTGTGTTCAGTGAGCAGGGAACCCAAATCTGAATTTAATCCAAGGCCGCCCTGTAAATTTAATGCACCTCTAAAGAGCACTGTTTTTTGCTTAATAATCTCATTTTTTTAGAATGAAAAAGCAGGCATATCGTGTCGATTAACAGTAACAGAGCGCTCTGATTATGTTCAGATGCCCTCTGATTTTACATTCTTAAGATCCTAAAACATGGGAAAATGGGACAGATGCTGCATGTTGGAACCAACCAGACAGATCTGACTCAATGCTCTAGAAATCTCTCCTCGCACAAGACATTATGCACAGTGTCCCCTTCTGAATTCAGCTAATTTATTTTTGTCAACGATATCTGAATTTATGCCATTACTCTTCAGTGACAAACCAAACACTGAATTATACAGCAGCCTTTGGCCTTTTAAATCTGAAACCTGAAAGTTGCTGCCAGATTAAAAAGGCCTACGTACATAAGTCTACAGTAAGGTTAGGGGAATAAGGGCTCTTCCAATATTGTGGCACTCCAATTGCCGTGAGGCATGATGCGATTGGTAGTACTGAAGGCTCCCTGTATAGTGAGACACTGCATACCTTTACCTGCCTTCTACACTGTAGAATGAAGAAAGTTGGAAACTTGAACTGCTACAGCTGAGTGCTAGGGAATGCTGGGATGAGGCACCGACACTCTTGGGAACAAAAGGCAAAATACATTGTCAAGTTACAACTCCCTAGATTCCATTGCACTAAGCCATGGCAGCTCAAGTGGAGTCAAACTGCATTAATTTAGAAGTATAGGTGCACCTTACAGGTGTACAAGTGCCAAACTGGGGAGGAAAAGTGGTGTTCTAGATATATTAGCCTGAGCAGTATAGGAATAGATCTATGCTGCCTGACACAAGAGTGGATCACAATCAAGAAAACATGACCCTGAGTTCACTCACCAAGCACATGGTGCTATACCACTGCTTCTTCAACTGGGGGTCCAGCCGACCACAAATGGGGCTCCCTTTCGCTGAATGGGGTCGCCAAAACTTTGGCAATAGAAAAAGGTTTCTAGACATTGACTGTTAGTGACAACTTGCAGCGTTTACAGTGGACTCTGCAGAAAATGCTCCAGCTGGACTCTGCAAAAAGGAAAATCCGCCTGTTTCGCCATGCAAAGGCTGATTTATTATCAGTAAATGTTTTGAGTTTGATGTCTGTTTTATATCCCTGGGGTGACGTAAATATTTCAAAGGCGGAAAGGGGTCGCGGATGGAAAACGCATAACAAGACCTGCTCCATACGACTGATCCCATAAGGAACAGTGGCCACGGCTGCACACCTTCAAGTCCTTTCCAAGTTATACTGGGCAAGCTTTGTTCCTTGGGACAGTCACCGCCTCTGCCTGTCTTGGAGGCTGAGAGAGTGTGACTTGCTCAAGGTCAAAGCACAGCGCATCTCAAACCGCTGGGGTCTTCCTTCGACGCTGAAGCCCTGGCTTTTCCGCACATCCTTTGGAAGCCTCCTTTCAACCCTGATGGAGAGAAGGCATGCTCTGAGAGTGGTGGCTTGATGGAGAAAACATCCATTCTTCCGTAAAGAGAGGAAATCTGCTTTGCTTTCCTCGGGACCCACCTTTGATCCTTTTCGTTGGAGGGTGGATTAACAAAGGAGCGAAACCATGCAACTGCAACTACCTGTCAAATCTGTGCTAGTTTACACACACACACATATACATACACACATATGTGTGTATATACATGTATATGCATGTATGCGTATATATGTGCGTATATATTTTTAATCTATGTGTATTTGTATGTATCTATATATATGGATGAGTCTATATATATGTGTGTGCGTGTGTGTGCGTGTATACATATATGTATAGGTATGTGTTTATATATGTGTTTGTGTGTATATATATTTTAATCAATGTGCATTTGTATGTATGCATGTATGTGTGCATATATATGTGTGCGTGTGTTTTTAATCTATGCTATTTCTTGCATATATTTGGTGTTTGTGACTTGGTCGTACCCTGCCAAGTGTATGACTTGGTCGTACCGGATGGCGCAGTAGGTTAAACTTTTTGTTTTTTGTCGTGTCAGGAATGACTTGAGAAACCACAAGTCGCTTCTGGTGTGAGGAAATTGGCTATCTGCAAGGACGTTGCCCAGGGGGTGCCCAGATGTTCTGATATGTTGCAATCCTTGTGGGAGGCTTCTCTCATGTCCCCTCATGGGGAGCTGGAGCTGATAGAGGGAGCTCATCCACGCTCTCCTTGGATTTGAACCTGCAACCTGTTGATCTTCAGTCCTGCTGGCAAAGGGGTTAAACCCTTGTGTTGGCAGGACTAATGACATGAAGGTTGGGTTCCTGACCTGAAGGTTGCCAGTTCAAATCTAAACCGGGGAGAGTGTGGATGGGCTCCCTCTATCAGCTCCCGCTCCATGTGGGGACATGAGAGAAACCTCCCACAAGGATGGTAAAAACAACCAAAAAAGTCCAGGCGTCCCCTGGGCAACATCCTTGCAGGCGGCCAATTCTCTCATACCAGAAGCGACTTGCAGTTTCTCAAGTTACTCCTGACACTGAAAAAAACAAAAACCCTGCCTGGAGTCAACAGGAGAGGCGGGTCTTAAATAACATGGATTAGGGTATTAGGATGATGATACCTACTGAAAATAACAATTCAGAATATTGGAATGCTCTTTGCTGGAGATCCATGCTGTGTGGGGGCAGAGCCTCCCATTGAAACCCCACGCAAAGGGGAGCCACCTGCAAGGGAGAGACAAGGCACAAAAGCAGCAGCCCCCCCCTCCCCCTCGCCCGCCCCAATGCCACTCTGCCCATGCTCAGAGGCGCTCACCGTTGTGGTTGACCCAGGCGGGCTTCAGGAGCTTCATCTTCCCCCTGGCCTTCCTCCTCCTCCTCCTCCTCCTCCTCCTCTTCCTCCTTCTCCTCCTGGCCTCCCTCGTCGTCGTCGTCGCCTTCCCCTCCTCCTCCTCCTTCCTCCTCCGTCTTGGGGACAACGGCGGGTCGCGGCTCCGCGAGGAGGGAGCAGCAGGAGCAGCAGCAGGAGGAGGCGGAGGAGGAGGGGAAGGCGAGGAGGGCAAGGCGGGCGCCTCTAGGCAGGAGACGGCGCCGCCCTCAATGCTGCTGCCGGGCTGGCCTGGGTGGCCCTGGGCTGGGGCTCCTTCCTGGCCCCCTCAGGCCCGCTCCATGCCTCCCGCCGCCGCCGCCGCCTCCTCCCGGCCGCATCCCCCGCGGCTCCCCGGCAACGCCGGAAGTGGGGCGCAGAGGTCCCGCCGCCTCAGCCGCCCGGCGGGAAACAAGGGGCCTCAAGAAGGAGGGCCGGCCCAAATGGAGGCCGCCTTCCCCACGAGTCCGGGCCTTCCTCGCCCGCTCCCACCAGGGTTGGCCGCCTCCTCTGCCCAACTAGAAGAGAAGAGAAGAACTTTAGGGACTTTGTGCAACGGAATGCAGTGCTTTTCCCCGGCACCCCTCGCACAAGAAACAACAACACACCCATCCTTCCCCAGGTTAATCCCTATTGCATGGCCCCCAATGCCACATTCATGAGAAACCATGGAGTACGGTATCATTACAGCTCTAGGGGCCCTTCCACCCAGCCCTATATCCCAGAATATCAAGGCTTAAATCCCACAGTATCAAAGTATGGACTCAGATAACCCAGTTCAAAGCAGATATTGTGGGATTTTCTGCCTTGATGTTCTGGGATATAGGGCTGTGAGGAAGGGCCCCTGTATAAAATTATCCGGCTGTGTGGACTCGAATAATCTAGTTCAAAGCGGATATTGTGGATTATTTGCCTTGATATTCTGGGCCCCTTCTACACAGCTGTATAAAACCCCACATTATCTGCTTTGAACTGGGTTATATGGCAGTGTGGGCTCCAATAACTCAGGGCCCTTCCATATAACCTAGCATCTCAAGGCAGAAAATCCCACAGTCTCTGCTTTGAAGTGGGTTATCTGAGCACACTGCCATATATTCCAATTCAAAGTGCATAATATGGGGTTTTATTCAGCTGTGTGGAAGGGGCCTAATATTTGCTTCAGTCTTTGCAACAGTAACACTCAAAAATTCAAAAGGGAAAGATAATAATAATACTATATAATAATATAATACATAGTTTATTATTGTTTATTATTTTATATAATATGTATTATATACCGTATTTACTCAAGTATAAGCCAACCCGAATATAAACTGAGGCACCAAATTTTACCACAGAAAACTGGGAAAACATATAAAACTGAGTATAAGCCGAGGGTGGGAAATGCAGCAGCAACTGGAAGGGGCCCCAGTTCAAAGCAGATATTGTGGGATTTTCCACCTTGATAACCTGCATTATCTGTCAGTGTAGAAGGCCTCATATCATCCAGTTTGAAGTACATCATCTGGTGGCCCTTCCAGAAAGGCCCTATATCCGAGGATCTGATCCCATATTTTCTGTTTATCTGGCAGTGTAGACTCATATAATCCAGATTAAATCAGAAAACCTGTGATCAGATCCTGGAATATAGGGTCTGTCTGGAAGGGCCCTGGTGTCCCTTCCACACAGCAGTACAAAATCCACATTCAACTGTATTATATGGCAGTGTGGACCTAGGGCCCTTCCACACAGCCATATAACCCAGAATATAAAGACAGATAACCCACAATATCTGCTTTGAATTGGGTTATCTGAGTCCACACTGCCAGATAATCCAGATCAATGTGGATTTTATACAGCTATGTGGAAGGGGCCTCAGATAATCAAGCTCAAAGCAGATATTGTGGATTATCTGCCTTGATATTCTGCATTATATGGCTGTGTGGAAGAGGCCTGGATGATCTGCTTTGATAATCTGGATTATATGGCAGTGGAGAAAGGGCCACAGAGGTCTTCTCTCTTTTGCAGGTGGCTTCCCTTGGCATGGGTTTTCAGCGGCCCCTGCCACACAGCTGTATTAAATTCACATTGAACTGGATTATCTGGCAGTGTGGACTCAGATAATCCAGTTCAAAGCAACATAGTGTATTATCTACCTTGATAATTATATGGTTGCGTGGAAGGGACCATGGCGAGAGTTTGCACACAGTTTGGATCACAAGCAAGATCATTTCAGTCATCATCATGGTTGCTATTTTCCGTATGTATCATAATAATAATCCACATAATAAGGAGAAAGATATGAGTAGGAGGCACAAACCCCTTCTAAATTGCCATATAATCCAGATTTTCAAAGTAGGTAATCCACAATATCTGCTTTGAACTAGATTATTTTAGGCCTCATCTACACTGCCATATAAAATCCAGATTATCTGCTTGGAATTGAATTATATGACAGTAGACTCATATAATCCACTTCAACGTAGATAATGTGGGTTATCAGTGTTGATAATCTGGATTATATGGCAGTGTAGAAGGGGCCTTTGATGGAATTAGAAAGGAGCAGGAATCGAGCTAGACCAGAAAATTATTTAATATCCTTTACATGTATGTATTGATTTTGTGTCTTTTAATACCACTGTAATATAATGGAGACAATTATACTCTACTTATACAATCCAATAAAATACAACAACAATAATAATAATAATCATCATCATCAATTTTATTTATGACCTGCCACTCCTGGTAGCTCGAAGCAGAGTAACACCAAGCCCCTTCGACACTGCCATATAATCCAGATTATCAAAGCAAATTGATTATATGAGTCTACACTGCCATATAATCCAGTTCAAAGATAATCTGGATTTTATACAGCAGTGTAGAAGGGGCCCAAGTCACAAACGTAAAATAGGCTGCAAGAACACATTTTCCAGACAGCCTGGAAACCACACACCTGCTCCTGCACCTCTGTGCCTTTCTGTTCTGTTTTGTTTTCTCTTATTTCTGTAAACAATTTCCTTGCATCTAGCTCATCTCTTCTTCCATCTCATAGCTAATCCCTGTCGCTTTCCTGACCTTCTGAACTCTTTCTCTTTAGCAATGTTTTAGTAACCTTATCTGTCCACATTTTTTTTCTTCTTCCTCTCCTTTTTCACTGGGTCAGCAGGGCCACAATATGACACAGTTTTGTTCCTGGATTATAACTGTCATTTCTTAATGGGTCCTATCATAAAAAAATATGAGAAAAGGTTATTATCAAGGCAGATATTAGATATCCTGCAGCACATTTTGCTAGTTTGTCAATGAACATCTCACTGAATCTCAACCAATTCAATCTACTTTGAGGCAGTCACAAAAACAAAGTTTCTGGAGGATAGCAACTACTTTCAAAGTAAGGGCTGCACAATTAAACAGGAAACAACACTTTCAAACCAGGAACAGAACATTTTCCAAATTGTATTACATAGGGCCCTTCTACACTGCCATATAAAATCCAGATTATCTGCTTTGAACTGGGGCCCCTTTCACACAGTTGAATAAAATCCAACATTATCTGCTTTGAACTAGAGTATATAGCAGTGTGAACTCAGACATTGTGGGTTTTTCTGCCTTAATATTCTGGGATATAGGGCTGTGTGGGAGGGGCCTGGATTATATGGCAATAATCTGGGTTTTATGGCAGTGTTGACTCATATAATCCTGTTCAAAGCAAATAATGTGGATTATCTGGTTTGATAATCCGGATTATATCACAGTGTAGAAGGGGCATTCGTGCAGTTTTACACTCCTTGGCTCCATGCTATGCAGGTTGACAAGGTGTGGAGTTTCTTGAACTGCCATGCTGCGGAATAATGGGAGTTGTAGTTGGGAAGCCTTGAGGAACAGGCCTTGATAAACTGCATAACATGGAGCCAAGGGGTATCACAGTGCTTTGTGGTCCATCTATGCCCCCTTCTACACTGCCATATAAAATCCAGATTATCTGCTTAGAATTGGATTATATGGCAGTGTAGACTCATATAATCCCATTTAAAGCAGATCATATGGATGATCTGCTTTGATAATCCAGATTATATGCCAGTGTAGAAGGGGCCTACGTTGTAGTGGTGCCTCTACACTGTAGACTTAATGCCATTTGGCTCCATGTTACGCAGTTTAACAAGGCCTGGAGTCTCTTCTCCTCAACGAGCAACTCCCGTTATTCTGCAGCATGGAGATGTGGCCATTCAAATGGTATCAAACTGCATTCAATTTACACCATAAACTATCCCCACTCTTATCAAGAGACAAAACATTAACCTCATTTATTTTATAAAAATATATTAAAACTGAAATAATAAAAATACAAAGAAAAAAGACCCCCCCCTTTCAAGCAAATACTAATACTTAGTAACATTTCAGCTTCTGCTAAGTAAGAAACTCATACACATTTTGGTTGTTTTACAGTACCCGCTCAGGCCCCTTCCACACAGCTGAATAAAATCCCACATTATCTGCTTTGAACTGAGATCTATGGCAGTGTGGACTCAGATAACCCAGTTCAAAGAAGATATTATGGGATTTTCTGCCTTGATATTCTGGGTTATAGGGCTGTGTTTTATACAGCTGTAAAAAATCCAGATTATCTGCTCTTAACTGGACTTTATAGCAGTGTAGACCCATATAATCCAGTTCAAAGCAGAACTGGATTAATGTGGATGATCTAATTTCATAATCTGGATTATATGGCAGTGTGGAAGGAGCCTTACGCAAAGGAAGCTCAGGTTAGATTTACACTGCCATGTAATGCAGGCCCCCTCCACATAGCTGGATAAAATCCACATTGAACTGAATTATATGGCAGTGTGGACTCAGATAATCCAGTTTGAAGCAGATATTGTGGATTCTCCGCCTTGATGTTCTGGCTTGCATTGCTGTGGCGAAGGGCCCCGAGCCTCCCCTTGCTCAAGAAAACCCTGTGACATTCACAAGGTCGCCACAAGTCGCAGGCACATGGGCCGGGCTATAAAATGCGTTTAATCCGATTTATGACAAAAGGGAATGGTTCCGGGCTGCAGTCCGGTCGAAACACTAGGACTCAAGTCAGTCCCAGGGAATGTCCATTGGAGCAGAAATGCTCCCAATATCCGCGAGAGGAAACAAAACAATGCGGACCCTAAGAAAGGGCTCCTTTCTCTAGCCACGCGGTATGGATTCCATCATAGAGGGGGGGGGGACCTTAATGTCAGAGCTCACGTGCGCGGGGAGGCGGGGGAACGAATTGGGAAGGGACGCCTGTGCACTGCCGGAAGTCTTCCCCCCGCCTGCGGAACTGAAAGAGTTAAAAAAAGGCGCTGGAAGATTTCTGCGGGATGATGTCGGCCTTGTGTTTCG